TTTTCCTTCCCAAATGAACACTGTCTTGACAACAACAGATCCCTTCGTGGTTTCAGGACATATGATTTCCTTCACCCAAAGCATCACAAGCATCACCACGCGGCATCATGCGACATGTTTGGTTGTTTTCATGAACATGTTATGATGTGAAGCGAAAGGATGCGATACTGTAAGCTATCGCATAGCAAAAGTCATGCAACATGACGCGACTCAACCTGATAACGGCCTCCAACCCAACAGCGAGGCCTCCAACCTACTACTAACAGCGATGGCAAAGCAATCAAAACTTCTATTGTTCTCTGTTTGATGAATCAACTCCCCCATCTCCAGAACGCATTTTCCCCCTCCAGGTTTGGGGGATGATCATGAATCTACCGTCTTACCTGACCCAGTCTGTGGATAACTAACCAACATCCTTTTTCACCACCGACAAAACCTTGTTGGGGGGCTTGGTTTCTCCAATCAAATCCAACAGGAAAGTTCGGTTCCCCTGAGTATTTTGCAGGGATCGAAGAGTCGGCAAGTCGGCGGTCGACACCCTTTTCCCGCACGTGTTTCGTTCGCAGATGTCGTCCTTTTCTCGGTCGGCACAGAGCAAGCGAAGCGGCTGCTTGAGCCAGGTTCCAGTCATTTTGCTTGGCATTCCCTATCCGAGAGGATCCATAGTAAAGGTCACATGTGGGCATTACATCTTTGGTGGTGAATGTAGGTGAGACTTGCATCAAATCGATCGTTTGGGTATTGATTTTCAGCGACCTCCGGATGTGAAACGATGCCCCGCCCAGTGTCGAACACCGAGTTCCACTCGCGGATTGGGGGTTTCATGCCCCGATTGAGAAGTGGCACCCAGTTCCTGGGAGCTTTGGAGTGTTTTTTTTGGAGCTCTCCACTCCCGAGAACTAACATGGACCCTGACAATGGCTCCCTGGAAGAGTGTTTTCCTCTACTAGCCAGTGGTTGCCAGGTTCCATGCTAGTCTTCCAGGGTGTAGCTGAGCCCGCAAGTTGAATGACGCATTCAACGGTGCATGGAAACATGGACATGAGACCATTTCGGCTTGCGCAAGTTTCAATCCGTCTAGACGACCCTTGTTCTCACTCCAGAACAAATGCAAAGAAAAGGCAAACAAAAGGTCCATGCCCAGAGGATTTGTGCTTCTGCTTTCAAAATGGATCCAAGTCGAGGTCTTGGAGCCTCGAGTCATAGCCTGCACCTACTTGCGAACTTGGTTTCCACTGGACCTCGTCCTCGTGACCTTCGATTGGATGGCTCCTTGTCGAACGAATCCTTCGTCCGCGCCTGCGGACGGTGTCGAACGAACGAACCATCCCGTCTTCACTCCATGTATGGAATATATGCCTACATTGACCCCCCAAACCACCCCAATGTAGGCATATATTCCATACATGGAGTGTATGGGATCCCGTCTTCACAAGTGAAAAGAGTCCCCGTCGATACGACCCGTCGACACGACTGCGACCTTCAAAACGGCCAGTGGTGGGTGGTGCCAGAGGGGTCTGGCCGTTTTGAAGGCAGTCCGGACTGGCAGTCCCAGACGGGTCGGGTTTGGGATCTAGAGTCTAGAGATGTTGTGAAGATGCAGGTAGGTAAGAAGTATGAAAGAAGGACCACTGACCGGCACGCTCAGCTTAGGGGTCAGGGCTTTTGTACGAGTGAAGGGTGCGGAGAAAGGATGGAAAGTTGGCTCAAAAACAAGGTCCAGCAACCTCCGTTTATGAGGAGGTCTTATAGGGGCACCATGGGGCACCCTGTGTTTCAAGCAATTCGCCTGGCTTTCTCAAGGTCAAGCTTCCATTCATGATGTTTAAATGATTCATGATTCCGTGATGCATCATCTTGTGTTGTGATTTGGTATTCTCTCAAGATCCATTCAGATCCCCAGCGCTGGTGCGTCTCCCTGCTCGCTCTGCTCCTCCACCCGGCTCGCCACCGGCCGGTCCAACGTCCGGTCGCCCGGCTTCCGGTCGCTGAGTCCATCATTGCAACGAGACTGGTGGATGAAGAAAGAGCTCAGGACTCGTCTGAGCCTTGGGACAAAATGAACGAACCGAGAACGCCAGGAGCGGACCCACTGTCGGGGTGGTTGATGGACACCGCGAAAAACCCATCGATTTCGGAGCTATGAAGGGAAGCCGGTTAGGGTGTTCTGGTGAGTTGCAGTTTTGTGTGGTGTTTAGTCTGTGGATGTGACAGATGGATAGCACCCCGACTGGATTCCATGGATTCCTACCCGAGATGGAACTGCTGGAAGTTCAATTTCTTTTGGAGTCCTGTTAGATAGGAGCATTTGTTTCTGCTTATCCTGGGCTTCCAGGCCTCTATCCACACATGAGAGTGAGCCGATTGGAATCTCTATGGCGAATCCGTTTTGGGGCGGGTGGTGGTTTGCTGACCAGGGTTGCTAATCCTAATCCGGCGTGGCTGTGGGCACTTTCCACGGCGTTTTAGGCTCTTTCTGGACATATCATGCATGTGCGAACGACGTGCATCTTTTATGCTACGTCGGTCCAGAACGTGTGCATCAAGTAGGCTCGCATGAAGGGGTTGCTAACGCGGAAGCAACGGGTTCATGCGCATGAACTGGGAACATGCTGAACCTTGCCACCATCAACGTGTCTTATGAGTCTCGTGAAGATGTTCATGCCCATCCGGGTGTTCATGACAGGTCAATACGTGTTTCCTCTTTGCTTCGGCACAGGAGCTCTGGAAGGTGGGATGTGCAAGCTGGAGAAGTGGGTCATAGAGGGTGCAGGTTTCAGCTCTTAGGACTAAACCTCTAGGGCTCCAGTTCTTCCTTCTCAGAAGGCACCTAGAGACCCTCCACAGTACCCTCCACTTAAGCCCTCTCCAGTCCTATCTTCTCATGGCGCTATTTGGAGCCCTAGGGCCTAGGGAACCTGACCACCTGTGGACGAACCTCTCACTCTGACGCTTCACGATGCTGGCCTCTGGGCTTTGCCGGTGTGAGCACCTCTGCCACCTCGGACGGTCACGGGGCATGGCATCGAGCGATCGAGCAGCTCACGTTCGATCACGATGGCCTTCTTCAGCTGCTTTCCGATCCCGTCCTGTCTGTGTCCAGCCGCTTCTGTGACCGAGTCTCTCACACAAAAGGGACCTTGCCTTGTAACTATATATACGTGGGTTTCGCTCTGTCATCTGAAACAAAGGCAGGGCTCGAGGAAAAGCCACTTCCTGGCTGAGAGGTCGACGTCTGGAAGTCTGGAAGATTGTGAGCTCGTGTAGCTCAAGACACGAGAGGACCAGACCTTTGGGCGAGTTCGGCGAAAGGGAGACGGACTCGAATGACCCCGTGAGTTCGGTGAGGTGGCGAGATGGGGTTTTCCTGTCAGCTTCACACCCAGACCCTTTTGGGTCTTCCAATGTCTTCCATATTGCTTTGGCCTACTTCGCCATTGGGCGGAACAGCGCCTTTCTTTTTTTTTTGGCTCTTTTATCCGCTGCCGCAGAGGAGGGAACAGCCTGGGAAGAGGGTTGATTGAGGTTGATTCTACCGCTTAAAGGAGGCCTATTGAAGGAGTTGGCTGACTGGATATACGGACGTGACTGTGCCCTTGCTATCAATATGCTTGAGTTATTCCGCTTTCGTTCCTCTCCAAGGTTAACTCTTTGGTAGAAACAAGCACGCTCCTTGATATCACTTTCGGTGGCACATGTCCGGGGTCCACAGTGGTCCGACATGTCTCATTTCCAACCAACGAACGTGAAGGGAACATCTCGGAACTGCCACAAAGCATAGCTGGTCAGCAACAGATGTGGATTGACGGAAGCCGCAGCTCATGAAGGCCACTCAGCTTTGTACTTAAAGGTCCAGTAACGTTGGTCAGTCGGCATGCACAGCAAGCATGTACTCCAAATACTCCAGCCATTGACCTCGGTTTTGCTTATGTGGGTGAATCCCCGTCTTTGGGGAATCATGGGGAATCGTTTTTTTTATTTAATGTTTCACAAATCCAAGCTAATGACTCTCCTTAGCTTTCTCCCATGCAAAGGATGACATGAACACAAGTTTAGATGTATATAGCCGCTGCTTGGGTCTTTGTGACCCCTACCATTTGGTGTCACAATTCTACAGGGATCTACAGGGTCATGAACTTCCGCCCGTTCGCTTCTCGTTCCAAAAGATCCCCATTCCACTCAACCATCACAGAGTTTAATGACGGTCTTCTTCCCGAAATCAGCTGAGGATTACCAATGGACCTATGCTTTGCGGCTCATGCGCTTGTCGCGGGTGCTGCGTTTGGGCAAGATGAGCAGGCAAGATGAAGCAAAGTGGGAAACGGCCCCTGGTCCTCTCTGGCTTTGCAACAGTGATGATGTTCGCAAGTGGAGGCTTCATTCAAATTACAAACCCAGTTGGACCCGGAAAAACATCGACCACTTGTCAATCGTTTGATTGCGAACTCATTCCTCGACCCTCAGACTCAGGTGGTAGGTGCTCAGCATCGAAACTGGGGAAACTTGCGGATTCTTTCGTCGAGTTTCGAGCCCAGCGTCGAAATCTGCAGCCAAACTGCAACTTTTGGGGTGCCCAAGAGACGTTAAGTGACCTTTTTAGGACCCTACTGCGGGATAGTCTGTAGGTCCTTCACCTTCTGGGTGTTCGCGGTGAAAGCGGTTTCTTCCTCGGCTCGGAGCCCTGCGCCGCCTGAAAACGGCGGCTGGGCGTGATGATCCGTCGGGGGGATCCACACGTCGCGCCAGGACGGCGTTGAACGTGAAGGAAGCGATGCATAGTTGGGCGATGAACGTCCAGTGCACCTGAGGGGACGTCATGTCGAGATGTCATGTTCTCGATGTTCGACCTCCTTCGGCTGGCGAGGTCGCCAGTTCGGCTGTGTGTTCTTCCGTCCATATGAGTAGAAATCCTTGGTCTTTGATGTCTTTGGGGCAACTGGAAGGATATAGCACGATGGGAGGCTCTTTGGCAGGTACAGCATTTTCATGAACATTTTCTTGCTTCTGCTGATGAATCACATGAACCTTGCCGGGCTGGCGCGGGCAGAGCGCGAAGACGTCTATGACGTCTGTTCTACGTACTCCACCCGAGCCAGTAGACCGGTAGGCACAACTGAGCCGTCGAACATTGAAGATAGGACTGACATCAGAATTCTGTTATAATTAGTTATATACGACCCAAAAAGATGGTGGGGAACAACGCCTAAAAGCGATGGCCTCCAACCTAAAAGCGGAACAAACTTAGAACCAAGTTGGATGAACTTCTTCAGCAAAGAACTCGGCAACCCTCCGTTGCGATGTTTTCGCTTGAGGGAATGAACAAAACAACAACTACCCCCCAGAGAAGATAAAACCATCCTGCAAAGGACAAAGTTCTGAATTTGCACAACTTCTGTCATGTTCCATCATGCTCCATCCACCTGGCTCCTCCAAAGTACCTTAGAAACTGTAGGACATGACCCTACAAACCAAATAGCTCGATCTGTACCCATTTTCTGAGGTGTGACCTTAGACTCCATCCACCATGAGGAACTCCATCCGAGCATTCGCCCTTTTGATCTCTTTCGATCTCTTTCGTGTTTTCAGGATCGCCTGTGGATGGTGGGCCTTTGGGCATTTGTGGGGCCAATCGATGGGTTGGTCCACGGTGTTCAATGTGGAGGACCGTGAATTTCTCTACAGCACCACGACTTGGTTGGGGAGGCTCTGTGAGGATAGGGAGGCTCTCCTCGATCTGTTTGCGCTTTTCGGTCGAAGAGCCGTGGTGAGGCACTCCTGAGCTGGTGAGTGGGTGAGTCATCGCGGTGGGGCAGTTGAATGGTGTTCAGTACTTGGCCTGCGAAAATGCCTGCGGCATGTCAATTCATGTGAATTCCAATCGTGGATGGACCGGACCAATCTCCAGTCACTTCACTACTTGGTTTGGCATTCTAAAACGGCACTTGCCGAGGTGTGCGACCCAAACCATACCCAAACCAAAAACCCGCACGTTAGTTATAAGGTACACACATGATTCAACTGTAGGAATGCATGGCTTATTCAAGAGACCTGTCAGAAAAGGCTATGATACTGTAGAACTTCGCCGAACGAATCGACACGTTAAAGGTCCTCATCACCTGATTGAACTAGATGGAGAACATCTTGTGTTTTTTACTTCTACAATATTGTATACAATGTGTTTTTATATCCCATACACTCCATGTATGGAATATATGCCTACATTGGGGTGGTTTGGGGGGTCAATGTAGGCATATATTCCATACATGGAGTGTATGGGTATGTTTCAATCACCTGTCGATCCGATCTTTTTCGGTTGCGGAATGAGGAGGATCATGGAGCCTGGACAGACGTCCAGGCTCTGATTGCAACAGGTCAGAAATGATTGGAACAATAGGCCTGGTGAACAAGTCCCACCCTGCAGACCAACATAGACCCTGGGAATTGACCCAGTTTATCAGGGCATTTTCCTCTAGAACCCAGTGGTTCTCAGTTTCCATATTACTCTGCTAAGGGTGTTTCTTTTTAAAGCAACTAGTGATGGGATTAAGAAACAGCTGGAGTTGCTGCTGCAAGGGGTTTTCTCCGTTTTGGGAGGCACCAATTCCCTCGATACCAACGAGCCGCGACACAGCGACCGAAGTCGAGCTCAGGGTACACGACCAGCCTCCATTGGGCATTGAGCCAGTTGGGAGTGAGTTCTACTCAGATCGAGGTCACTAGGCTGCAGATTCTCTCCGCGGAATATACCAAAAACAACACTATCAGACACGATCAGATTGCGTGGCGTTAAAGGCATGGTCACTTATGAGACTCACTGAAGTGTGGATTTTCCAGCTATTGGAGATGTTTTGGTGAGCCAGTCAGTGTGATTCAGTGGTATGCAGTCAGTTCGGCTTCGTACCCATTCAATGGAACACGGGGTTGGCTTCCCCACTCTAAATCCAACTGGGCTTAGTCCCTGCAGAAGCAAACGACGCTTCGAACAAGACAGTGGGTTAGATCCTTATTGTTGCACGGTTCTATAGGCACCGGTCAGTCAACAACCTTCACCGGTCATGTTTGGTCATGTTTTGGTCATGCTGTGATTGCATTTTGAAAGCTCCGTGTCAGCCAACGATCTAGTGGTCCTCCAATCAGCATAGAGATATTTTTAGCTCAGAAGGTTGCACAATCATTATCTATTAATCAGAACTCCATATCACACTGGATATTCAAAAACACAATGGGCAAAACACCCATTCATATTTAAAAAAAAAAAACAAGAAACTGTTTCACACGTGTTTTGTGTGTTTCTTTTTGGTCAAGATGAAATCAATTCGACATCAAACACACCCACCTCGGAGATCTCATTTCGGCTACTAGCCAAGGCCACCAACACGACTGAGCGGATCTACAGCAGCCTGGTTCCACCCGTGGGAACGGGATGGACCTCGATTCGGGGCGGAAGGCGAGGAAGCGAGACGGCCCGGGAAGGCCAGGCACCATGGATGTAGAGCGATTCGCTTCGCGACTTCCGTTGAGCTTCGAGTTTTTCACACTTGGGGCCCCCAACCTTCACCGTGGGTTGAGCCGCTGAGCTGTAAAAGTAGCAACTTGCATAAGAAGAGGCCGGCTTTTTTATGTGAAGGTCCAGAATAGGGGTCACGTCACGGTAAAACCTACTGCCACAAGGGTATATATTTGGACTCCATTTTTTGTTGAAACACATCTTCACCCAAGAACCAGACCTACCATGAGCCGGCCTTTTCCTAAGAACAAGCGAGAGATGTCATGTATACAAGGACCATGTTTGAATGGTGGGGCAAGACCCAAAGGACCATGTTTCCATCGGACTTTTGGTTTTCCCCGCAGTCAGTCGTTTCAACCGCCCATCCCTTTTGGGGGGATGGTTTCCTCAGAACTTGAAGAGGCGGAGGACGGAGACACCTGGGCCCAGACACGACCCGTCTGGGACTGCCAGGCCGGACGGCCGCCCCATGGGATCTCTCCGGTGACGACCACCCCTGGCCCTTTTTCGGCATCGCCGCCATCCCATTCGTCTTCTGTCGCCTTGGTCTATCCGAAAAAACCGTGGGTTTGTCGACCGGTGTGTGGGTCCCGGTGGTTTCCACCCGAGGCATCTTCGTGGCCTTTGTGAGTTTGATCACCTTTTCGACCATGGCCACGCGGCCGCGTGTTCCGAGCGCTCTCGACTGGGCAGAACGTCGAACGACTCTAGGACTGGTCGAAGGAGGTCGAAGGATGTTGGGTGAAAGCAAGTTGAGGTTCATCAAGATTGGCGTGTGGGCTCGCGCCTGGTAGTGGGAGGGCTGCAGAGCAGTCACATGAGGCCTGGCAAGGCAAATGAAAGGAGGTGAAGCACCCGAAAATGACCAACTAGAGTCAAACTAGAGCGGTCAACTTGGGTCCGTGCTAAGCGTTTGAGGTGATTTATATGGAGCGAATCCCTGGCATGGGGATTATAATGGAATATGTACCAGCACCCGACTCTACAAGTCTCCTCTGGAGGCTTTTGCTGACTTAAAAGTCACAGGTGGTGACCTGTTGGAGGGTGCTGGTATGTGTGTGTTTTTCCTTAAGCCTCAAGCCAATTCAAAGTCGGCTTAAGCCTGGTCCCGAAGGAGCCAGGTTTTTGGGAGATGTCGCAGGAAACGGAGGCATTTGCCCGTTTTCCTCCCCGTTTGGTTCTGGGTCAACCAATTTGGATTGTAAAAACCTCTTATGGAGAGTTTAGTTCATAAGTCAAGAGTCTACATTAGAATCCCAGTCTTCGATCTTGATCACCTAAGGACTGGATCCACTAATTCCTGGTCCTATTTGTTTAGTATCATATGTTATCGATTATCTCATTTTTTCCCCTGAGTTTGGTTCCTCCCTATTGAACAGGTTGAAACAAAGGCGAGCCACGCGGCTCTCGACTTGATGTCAATGAGCAAACTGGCTGACATGGACCACTGACTTTGCAGTTGAACAAAAAAAGCAATGCTTCTTTGCAGGATATACATTCTTCAAGCAAACACAACATGACAGTTGTTTAGATTTTCAGAGCACTAGATGGGAATTGATGAGAGGAGTTTTCAGAGTACAAGTTCATGTTGTTCATGTTCAAACTCCACACATCACTTGCGCAGAGAAGAAGCCATGTTTGCCCATCATGTTCAAGATGTCACAACTGTCCCGGAGTGTTTTACAAACCCATTCGGCATGGTTAGTTAATAGATACCGTATAGTCATCCTACCTACCAGGACGGCATCACGGAATCCGCGGCGGCGCGCTGCGGAAAAAAGAAAAAAACCTGAAAGCTGCTGGAGGTGAGCTCCATGACATCGATGATGGGTACCTGGTACAAGGAGAAGGCGAGATGTGGCGACATCTGGCGATGCTGGACGTGGGGATGCGAACTCTGCTGACTGGACACCGCACCACGGGGGTCGGGCGGATCAAATTGAAGGACGACTGGAGTTGAAGGATTTCAAGTGACTGGAGAAGTTGTGCAGCCGACCACGGAGGTATGGGTAGGCAAGGGTAGGCATATGGTAGGCATAGAGTCACTAATAGTGCGTGGTGAGATGTGGTGAGTCAACAGTTTTGAAGGCCCGTGTTCTTATTAAAAACTCACGTAACTTGCAGAGCACCGGATTGGGGGTTGGGAGGCTTGGTGTTGCTGTTGCTTATGTATTGCTTTTATAATAGGGTGATTCTTTCAGTTTCCCGATATGGGTAAGGGATCTTTTTGTTTCCCGCCTTCTTAATTAAGCAGATCCAATTTTTGCTCATCGACGATGTCTACACGAACTCGTCTTCGTCTTTGGTCCCCGCAGTCGTGTGTAGCTGTCGCCGTCTTCGTTCAGTCCGGAGAAATGTCGTAGACTCCTGGTTCGTCCTGGTTTGTGGTTTGTGGTTAATTATACTTGAAGTCCAGTTCAACTCGAAGTAGAGGAGATTCCAACTTCGGGTCATCTAAAGATCATTATATATATGTATATGATATAGTCTTGGACTCCTACAAATAAAATTGTCTCTCAGAGTTTCTCAGGAAAGCTTCCGATCGAGGAGCCGAGGCTTTTGTCATGCGGCCCAGATGTTGTCAACGTTGACAACAGTTCTCCCTGCGCTGCCAGGAAGAGGAGAGGAAACAGTTCTCCTCGCTCCAACGTTACTTGCGGCAGCTTTGAATGCACCAATTCCACCATCGGATTGTCAGTGTTCAGGTCCATGGCACCCGCCGACTGGATTGGGGTCCATATAAACCACCGACTGTGGATTGGGGGACATCTGTGCCATTTTGTGCCATCAAACGATGGCCAACCGAATTTATGGGTACTAGTAACAAAGGGCATCGCTACTAGCAACAGGAAACTACTAGTAGCTCCTAGCATTACTACTAGTAACAAGAAGCTACTAGGGTGGCCATTACTACTAGTGACCAACATATTTTAAGGGAGAACTGATCAATCTTCCAGAGGTGACTGATGGGTTCTTGTGGAAATCACTCCAAAAGCGAGCCTGATTGACACCGCAGTGAAGCCACGAGGTTTTTCAAACTCTCAGAATTGGTTTACAGTAACTGAGAATCTACGGGAAACCCATGGTATTTAGTGGTGAACACAAGTGAAAACATAATTTTCCTGTAGATGGTCCCTGAAACCCATCCTGACCAATCCATGTTCGGACCAAAGAGCTCCAGCCGGTGCCCCTTTTCGTGCTATTCATCTTGTTGGCAGTGTCAGGAGAATCCAGCTGCTTTAGATGCAGAGATGCCTATTACCTCTACAAGCCTCTAGGTGGAGGTCATGCTTCCTACTAGGTCGGAGGCTATTCCTATTAATTAGGTTGCTATAAGCATAGGTTCCCTACAATACCTACCTGTCCAGGCTTCAAGATGCGTTATCCCATGTTATCCCCAGAGTTCCTAGCCCACCATTGATGGAAAATAGCCGGGTCATCCCGCAGCACCAGCTGTTCTACCAAGGATTTTGCACTACAAAACCAGGTCAAGTCTTTTTCAACTAGTCTTTGAAGGCTACGGAATACCCATTAATTAATAGGTTCCCTACAATACCTCTCCATGCAAATACCGTGTGTCCATTAATAGGTATTTGCAAATAGGATATGGTGTGTGGGTGTAGGGGCTCGTGTCCAAGTCTGGCCTTTTGCCGTAAGTAATGTTGGTGTTAAAGCCATACAGCCTGAGTTCCACCTAGAAACCCAGTCCCTTCTCAGAAACAAATAGTTGTTCCAATCTCGAACTTGATGTCCTTGACATGACAAGTAGGCAGGTGACACCGGGGAATGCCAAACATGGTCTCTTGAAAGAAGGTGCGATGCTGGTGGATTCCACATGAATCAAATGGACCCTGGACCCTCGATAAGTTGAGTGTTGAACAGAAATTGTTGAGAATGGATGTCTATCTCGCTGAGATTTCTGGGCAAGTCATGTTGGCTAGAAGACTGCTATGGCTTGGAACATATAAGTTTGTGCATTTGCCAGTTCTCAGAGTTGGTGAAAAAGAGCTGAAGCCCCTTTGATTTCGTGAATGCATTGCAGCTGCAGAGAGAAAGCTCCTCATGCGCAAGAGCCACAAGTTTGTGTATAGTTCGATTCTTCTTTTAGCTTCATGTAGGATCTTGATTCATATATTCATAATATTCACATACCTCCGACAGGCATGGATATTGAACAACCTCTTCAAGCTTTGGGCAGCTTATCATTCATCTTTCGGCTACTTGCCACCGGACCTCCTCAGACCCCGGACCTCTGTCCCTACCTCCTCCCATCGTCCGGAAAACCGCGCCGCAGGCACAACGCGATCCCACCGGCACTCTCGCAGCGCGTGACGCATTTCCTGCAGCACGCCGCCTCCGAGCGCAAGGCGCCGGCACGACGGGCGGGTCGAGCCGATGGACGAGCCCCGCGCGCGTCCACGCCGTCCGCGGTGGAGGAGGAGTTGAGACATGAGAGGAGAGTTTCCCGTTTTTATGAGTGAAATAAGAGAAACAGCAGGGGGTAGGAGATGGTAGGAGATCATGCATGCAGTTGGTGTTTATTTGTGGATATCAGATATATGCAATCGCTGAGGGAGAGCCTCTATAGGCAGGATACACAAACGGATTGCAGGTCCAGTGACGGCATTCCCCCAGTGCAAAAACAATTCAAAGATGACATGTTGGCAGCCAGCTTGAAAGACTGCCAATCCTGTAGACTCTTTATTTGCATTGGTGTTTTAGATATCAGTCTACATGAATCTTTGCTGTGGGGTGTTCGTTGGTGGATAATTACCTCGGACCAAACATCTCGAAACACAGCGGCTAGTAGTTTCTTGTTACTAGTAATGCCCTTGTTACTAGTAGCGATGCACTTGTTACTAGCATCGTGACTTGTGACTTGATTTGTTTGTTTTGTGTTTTCTGGTGTTTTCTGGTTTCAACCGTCAACCTGACTCAATACACTTCCGGATCACAACTCGTCACCGGGCCGCGGTCGACGAAGTCGTCGAAGTCGTCCGTCGTCGAGGCCATGGTGTCGGATTCACATGTGGAATTGCTGGACCTCTTGTCCAAGCCTTTGAGGGGCGAGTTGCAGCTGGTGACTCGCTTTGTGTTTGGAAAAACGCCCGGAGGGGGCGAACAACAACAACAACAACAACAACAACAACAACAACAACAACAACAACAACAACAAAAGCAACAAAAGCAACAAAAGCAACAAAAGCAACAAAAGCAACAAGCGGCAACCGGCAAGCAACAAGCAACAAGCAACAAGCGGCAAGCGGCAAGCGGCAAACGGCAAGCAACAAGCAACAAGCAACAAGCATCAACAACAAACAAAGCAACATGCGTGGACTAGGAAAGGATGGGTGATGAGTCGAGTTGTGCGTGTGACACTGTGTGTTTTGGGACCACCAACCGACGTACCCAGGGTGTACAGCAGCTTTAGTGCATTCATGTGGATTTTAATGGAATTGTGTATGACCCCCTGAAGGACTTGGCGCAAATCCAGAGGATTGAAAACATTTAAGGCAAAAATTCTGAGAGTCGAATTGTCCGTTGGGTGTCGGGAATCCTGCATGAAGGTGTACGTGGCTCACAGAGGGATTCCAAGCACTGTTGGATGTGATTTTTTCCCTTTTGGGGTGCCAGTGGTGTTGCCATGGTACCCACAGACCTCAGACCTCCCATACATCGATAGCAAAGTAACATGGCCTTTCAAAAGGTATTGGAAGCCGTGCCACTATCTATTTGGGGACCACCATATCGAAAGCATGTCTCCATGTCGAAAGCATGCGCTGTCTGAAGACGCGGTCCGGATGAATGAGGGAACGAGTGAAGTGGCGCCCGCCCTCGGCTGAGGAGAAGTACCGCGGTAGCATGGTGCGGATGGACTTTGTTGCGGCCTTACTACACAGTGACTTGGTGTGATGGTTCTGTTTCAAGTTCTGGACATGTGAAGAGGCAACAAGCTGCAAGCCATGCAGTAAACTTGCACTGTGGTTTGGTTTGGTTTTGCATCATGGTCATGTTTTTAGAACCAGCCAGTATTCTTATATAGAGTGTCGTGCGAGTGAACACCAGCGATTGGTTTGACGGTCGAAACAGGGTCGAGAGTCGAGACGGTCCGGTGAGACGGTCCGGTGTACACGTTCTGAGAAACCTTTGTGTCAGGCCCATACACTCCATGGGACTGGCATATATGCCGATCAGTTGGGGTGGTGGTTTGGGGGGTCAATGGGGCGGCATATATTCCAGTCCCATGGAGTGTATGGGAGGTATTTCGATGGTTACCTTCGTCAATCTTTTCTAAGACATGATGCGCTCATCTACAGGTGGTTGGCGATCGAACATCAATTCTTTGGTTTTTGTTGCTGGAGCTGGGAGAGCAGAGCGGAGCTGGGAGAGCGTGAATTTGCATGAAGCCAGCAACCCATGCACCTAGCAGTTGCACGACCTCTACTGCTCAACCATGTTTTGATCCCCTCTTCATGGGCATGTTATCACAGGTCACCTGATCCACTATAGGACTGTAGGCCAAGGTGGTGGGGGTTGGGCGCCCTGGACGAGTTGGGCGCCCTGGAAGAGGTGGATTGACCAAACGCCACTCCCCCCCGACCAAACCTGAGTCCCCAAAGCACCGATTCCACTTCTACACGGATCGTGAGGTTCACCCCTGACCAGAAAAATAATCTCAAATATTGACATGCGGACATGGTGCTCACGTGACAGCGGTCGGATTCCCAAATTTGCAATGTAAAAATGACCTACCAGCTTCTTCAAAGTGTGACCTTTCTTTGAGTCCCTAAGCCCAAGTCCTTTTACAGGCGCAAATGACCTCAACATGGTCACTTTGAAGAACCAAGTATACATGTGTCCTTCAAACGTTGCCGCCCATCCATGGGACAGTTTGATCGCATGGCGGTCGGATTGGAGTCGCCACCGGTTGAGATCCAGACAGCGTTAAGACCAGTCTACCCAGTCCTTCGGTGAGAACCATATGATGGATGTGTTTCAGGGAAAGGAAAGAACCCAGAAACCCTCCCAGGGTTCGGTTCGGAAAATAGAGGCAGTCTACCCAGCCAGGGCCAAAAGCTCTTCCCAGCTGGGAAGGTGACAGTGTGCAGATCCTGGATGTGATGCAACTGCTGGCGACGGGCGCCATCAGCAATACCACCTTGGGAACCAAGGCTGGGCCCGCAACCCGAACGCGGGCTGAACGCCACACAAGCGGGCTGAACGCGCGGGACTCATGCCTGGTCTAAGGGCGATGAAGACCTGAAGAGGGTTCCAGAGAATCGATCCGGCCTGTTCGCCTTCAAAATGACCCTTAAAATTGTATTGGTTGACCTGGTTTTAGTAGTGCATCCTTCGTAAAGTAACTAAGGGTTCTGACTGATTCAGGGTGCCGGAGACAACCAACAGGTGGTTGGAAGAGGTTGGAATCTCAGGTTATGCCAAGGATCCCCATTAACCCCAGGTCAATGATCTTCAAGGATCCCCAGTGTATATAGGTGAACATGCAGTCCCATCGACCGTGCTGTGGCTGGGGGTTGATGAGGGGTTACTAACCCAAGCTTGCGATGGCCTCCAACCGAACCCCGATGTTGCGGTAACTAAGGAAGCTGCTGATGTGCTCCTGCTAAGGCTGAAGAGTAGTGTGAAAGCTCGAAAGCCCCATTGCAAAACGAGGAGATATCCCAAGCAGACGTTTTTTTGTTTTTTAACGCTTTCACATGAATTCCTTGTTTCCCGGAAGGTTCTTTCAAAGGGCATGTCCCGAAATTTGGAGAGAACGCTTCGAGGAACATTAAAATCCAAACATTTCTGCTCTGTGATTGGTCGTATTTTGCTTAGAAACTATAGGACTTGGATATGACAAGTTCGGATCCGCTGGCAGACGTAGACATCGTGACGTGGCGCCACTCATACCTGGCCACCTTGGACGAATCCGAGATAACATGGGTGTGACATGTTCTTGTTTTCTTATAAATCCATCATAAGTAGCCTGGTGAGACCGCGAGCTGCATGAAGCGATCGATCGAATAGCTCATTGACATCTCGATTTCGCCCATTCTTGTTGCGAATTGGCCATATCAACGGATATCCCGGACACTCCATGCGACTGCCATATATGCCGCCCCATTGACCCCCAAAACCACCCCAACTGATCGGCAGTCCTATGGCAGTCCCATGGGTCGTGTCTGGGTATTGCTTGAGGTGATTATTCACATGCCGCTCGTAAAACTGCGATGAACCTTGTGGCATCGACCATGTAAGATGAGACACCGACCTCAGATGGCATTGCTTTGGGTGGTAATAGTATATTTTCCCTTGGTTAAAAGGCAAGATCTAAAGGAAACGATGGTGTTCGATCCACAACTATATGGGGTTTACTGTAGATGTATGTTCCCTCAAACCAATTCAAATTCTCGAATGTACACTCTGACTCACAAGCAATGTTTGGTGGAACATGCTCCATTGCAAGACGACTTTCCTCCAAAAACACCTGGGGGCCATGGCGGCCACTTGCATGTTCCGAGTTTTTCAGCTGAACCGTCAGCCGTTCCGGCCGATCTCGGAAGCTCCGTGGTGGAACCGGGCGTTCCGCGGCTTCAGGATGTGGTCTTTCGCTTTGGCATGGAAGCTTTGTCATGCTATTTACCCGTCTCCGGGTCTTTAAGCTTCTCGGATTTGAGCGTTCGCGAGTCTACGCCGGGTCTTTTAGCTTCATCCTCCTTCAGGTCATTCAAAAGGAGAACCGACAAAAAACTCAACGTAATGTGTTGGTCGATCGATCCCTGGCGGTGCTATAGAGTCCCTATAAAGATCGCAAATAGCAAGAAACTACCAGGGTGGAGGCCATCGCTACTAGGGTGGGCCATTACTCCTATATACCCTGGGAGTCAAAGACTATAAAAAGAATTCAGAATGGTCAATTTAGGGGACCTGAAAGGGAACTTCCTTTACTTCAGCCGGTCAAAATATATAGTCTTTGGACTTCTAGGGTATATAGGTATTGTAGCAAAGAAGCTCGTCGCTACGTCACAAGTACGGGGCATCGCTTTGCAGCTTCGGAGAGGCGCTCCGCTGCGGTCCGAAGGGGGGGGGCGCTTCCGGATACCTTGCGAACGTATAGCAAGATGCTGCTACGAACGGATCAAATCACAGCGCCTGTTTCAGCAAACACACAAGAGAAACCTGTTCTTCTATGTGTTTGTTCAAGAGAAACCTGTTATTTTTGTTGGGTGTTCTTTTCTTGTTTGGCCTTTGGTACCTCTTTGGTGGAAACCCGCCAGGCCGGTTCGCTCTGGTTCGGTGTGCCCGAAGAGACCCCGCCTGGCGCGGAGTCGGAGGTCCGAACTGGGAGCTCCAAGCGGTGAATTGGACGAGAGCTTGGTATACCCAGACCATCCATGGGACTGTTATAGGATCTATAATACACATTACCTCATGTATCACTCCGCAAGTGACAATGACTCATCGTATTCCATGGAAGGTTTGGATAGCAAGATTATGTTTGCAAGGCCTTTTGGGCTTCGCTGTTGTTTTCACAACGCTTCATGTTTTAGGAACTCTTCTGGACTAGAAAGCACCACGGAGCAACCGGCGCGTACGGGCACCGTGCGAAACGGAGAACGTAGCCCATACACTCCATGGGACTGGCATATATGCCGATCAGTTGGGGTGGTGCCAGGGGGGTCAATGTAGGTATATATTCCATACATGGAGTGTATGGGGTACGTTGATCGATGACTCGTGTTTGTCCAAGACAGTTCGCTGGCTGAGGTTACTTGCAGGAAAGCCAGGAGCACATCCCTTGTGTGAAGTGGGCGGCAGAGCCGGGTCTCCTAGTGGCTCAAACAGGGGAAGGGTGAAAGTAAGGAGGACCAGCTGTAAGGTCAAGCCATCATCATGTCGTTGTGATCGATTTGTGATCGATTTGTGTCCGCGTTGGAGTGAAGGTAATCAAGATATATCAAGATCAATCGATTGGAGAACACTGGAGAGGGCAGGGCCAGCAGATAACACGTCCAAACACGATAATGTGGCACCACTTCCCTGAAAAACCAGAACTCCCCTACCTCTCAACACCGATGAATTGTGGGTTGTGAAGATCGGTCGCAAACAATCAAAGGACATCCAGCCTGCCCCCTGGGCAGCCATAACTGGAGGAGAAGGTCCCTGTACAAAACATGAAAAGTGCTCGAGATGCCAGTCTATGTATGGCACATAGAGGGAGGCAATAATTTTGTAGCGAAGGAAGTTCGTGGTGGCTCCATTTTTCTCCAGTGCAGTGTAGCTGAGCAAGAATCGGGTACGGGTTCCCCGTCCATTTCAGTCATCTCGATCACACTCAGGATGTGCTTGTGGACTGAATGGTACTACGTGGGCGATTTGGTGGCCGACTCCGTCTCCCAACTGTTGGTTCTTGACATGGAGAGCTTTTGCGAGACCCTCTCAGGCGCGATGCGATTTAGGGCCGAGCTATGACAGAAATGAATCTCAGGTGGTGTTAAACATCACAGGTAAATTAAGCATCAGAATGGAGTAGAACTCTGAGTAGAACATCCAAAACCTGAGTTTTGGGTCATTTTGCAGATAAAACATTGACTTCTCGAGCAAGAACAGGAGAATTTGTACCCTGTCTTGAAGCTATCATGTGCTAAATACCTCAAGGTTTTGCCTACAAAGGCCTGCAAGATCCTTTCTTTTAAGCCAGGGCATGATTCGATTCATTATTGGAACCCTATCCACCCAAGACATAGTAGTGTGCCTGGTTCCATACTCTCTGAGGAGAAATCCTGCACCACCTGCTCTTTACACCCTGAACATATTGCAGAAATACACAATTTTCATACAGCAGAAGTGGATTCCGCGTGGTACACAAGAAGCTCCACAAGAAGCTCAGTATGTTCAGGGTAGAGTGTGGAGATTCTTTTTCCAGAACTGTATATCACGTTGCACAAAAAAGCTGGCAGTGCACTTGCTTCCAAGCTGGCAGAGTCATGACAGAAAGAGTCGATAGTAGAGTGGTTTTCAGTGCGTAACCGGTGGCTCCGGCCGTTCGTGGTCCCATCGCTTTGGATCAAGTACTTGGACCATGGCTATGGGTCAAAGCCGAGGGGGTCATCCAGTCTTTTTCCCACAGGAACGTGAAGCTTCCCGTGAAAGGCGCCGCGCCTTCGGGTTTTGATTCCCCCAGTTCAACTGATTCCATTCCCACCTGGCAGTGGAACTTGTGAAAAGCAAGAAACACCTTCAACCAGGGCTCAGGGTCGGGGATGGTTCGTTGGTGACACCACGGCCGCCAGCCTGCCGCCTCGCGCTCGCCTTTTGTGAGGCAGCCGCGTCACACAGAAGTTGGGCACCACCTACGCCCGGGAGTATGTCACTGCCCTACACATAGAGGAGAAAAAACACACATGAAAACGCATCGTCCGGCGGTTCAAGGCCTTGATGTCACCACGGATGGATTGGGAGTGGTATGACAAGCACCGTTTTGGAGCCCTGACAGAGGTTTCTATTGGCTTTAAGGTGTTGAGCCTGCACAAGCTGCTTTGCGCGAAGGTGTTGAGCCCAACCTCAGAGTTGAAACACAGTTCCAACCATTCAGCAGCTTCGCTATCCAAGACCTCACAGAGGGAACACATTATCCGCGGCCTCCACAGATAATATCTCTCAGAAATGTTCGGTTGGTCTAGGAACCCTTAAAAGCCCACCTGCCCACCTATCATCTCCTGGAATCAAAATCAACTTTTGCATGTGCAACTCTACGATACTGTTGGATTCGACAGATTGGACCAACAAACACGTAAAGAAGATCTTATAGCTCCAAATCTTCAACGTGACACTGCTGGGTCATATATCAGTAATTAGCGACTGTAGTGATATGTTGTGCACAGTTCCAGGCAGATGCCCAGACAAAACTTGGCGACTCGACCCAGACACGACCGCAAGTCTACCATCGAGACCGTGGATGCGGTTTTGAACCGGATGTCCGGAGGACGGCTCTGGACGGAACAGGGTGCGCCATCCACTTCGTGAAGTCAGTCCAGATTGCATATCCCAGACACAATGATCCATGGGACTGCCATATATGGCGATCAGTTGGGGTGGTTTTGGGGGGTCAATGTATATGCATACCAGGACCCTCCCAGGGGTGCCCTGTCTGGAAGCCGATAGGTAGTGTGGGGTAGTCCAGCCAGGACACCCCGACAGGAGGGTCCAGGTATATGGCAGTTCCATGGGTCGTGTCTGGGTATGTTTGTTTGAAGGTGAAGTTGATTTGGAGTTCGAGTCCAATCGAATCTCGGATCCAGTCGACACGGTCAATCGAATCACCAGGAAACTTGGTCGGTTGCTTGGAGGGAGGAAGTGTCGCGGAGGGCTGTGCGGAGAAGTCAAGGGTGCGGTGAAAACCATGGGGGCCGGGGTTGGTGAAAAACACATTGAGATCCTTCATCTTTGAGCATCCACAACTGGGATCATTTGTTTGAAGTTCGCAGTGAGTTTGGATGGTTCTCAAGAAGACAATCCTTTTGGGTCGCTGTGTTTGTGATGCTTGCAGATCCTCTCTCCAAAACTTCACACAAGTTCCGAAGAGTCTTTAAAGGAGTAGTGATTCGGATCCTTGTCCTTGATTGATTGTGTGTGTGCAAGCATGTGCAAACTAGGTATTTTCTTGGTGTGGGACTGTTTGTCAATTGACCGGAAGGGATCCACAGGTCTCCTCTTTTACGTCAAGGTCCACCCAAGGACAGGATGTTCTCTAGCGACTGAATGTCAAGACACACCATTGCCATATCGATACCCACTCTTATACCATGGAAATTTGCGGTTTCAGAGTAGGCACAACCCCCCAGATGTCGTTGATATGGGGGGTCCATTCAGCATCATTATGAACTATTTAAAACACCCTTTTGGGGGATTGTGCCATCTTCTCTGAAACCACTGTAAATGCGATGGAAAAGGCAGCCCGGCAGATAGGAACTGGCAAGCTCGCCATGTGCTTCCAGCATGGAAGAGCACGAGCCGAGCCTATTACTTCCATCCAATTTACGGGGCTCCGGACTTTTTGCTGGATCCATTTGGGAATCCTCCCCGCGAGATTTGCGTGAGAGGCCCCCGGGAAGCTGTGTTCACCCACCAAGCCTCAAAGGCTATGCTCACACATGTCAGGCTCCTGACTTCAGACGATCCACCCAAAAATACACTGGCGCCAACGAATTTGCTTCTCAGAAGCAGCTCCTTATCGACCGACCAAAACGTGCGCGTTCGCGCCAGAGGGAGCTTCAAGGAACCTTTGCGGCTCACATTTCTCAGCTACTTGAGAACTGCTTCTAGATCTAGTAGCAGTTCTAGCAGTTCTCAGGATTCCTCCTGTACGACTCAAAAGTGGCACTCGCTACTGCTGAGGATTTGTGGCATTTGGATCGACAACCAGAAGTGCAAGACCTCTGGCGCGGTCGAGGTCAGAGTCCAGAGTTTTTTGGCAATCCCAGATGCTCCAGTGATCACTTGGGGACATAAGGTCTACAATACCCAGTGCATGCCAGTTACCACTTATATAAGGAACCAGGGATTCTGGGTCTATGGTTTTAGTCTTTGGAACCACTGGTTACCAACTATGGTGGTAACTGGATGCCCTGGGATACCTTCACAGTGAAATGGGACATCTTCCAATGAAACATGTTTAATCGTTTTGCATCTTGGGACCCAAAGATTTCAGAGAAAGTTGTCACAACTGTGATCCTCCTTGAACAGACCTTTGTTGAAGTTTTTCCCAAAGCCCATACAGAACTCCCGCCCAGACGGAGGTATCGTCGACCTAGGGTAGGGTCGACCAAGGGATCGTACATGATCCTAGCTGTACGTTGGGCCAGGGAAAAAAACCCTTCCAAAGACAAAAAAGAAGGGAGCTTGTGCAGGGTAGGGGCCCTTCCCGTCCTACCCTTCCGTTGGGCCAGGGGCCCTACCCTTCCAATTGGACCAAAACGTTTGGGAGCTTGTGCAGGGGACCTTCCCCTCCTCATTCCACCTGAACGCCAGCCAAAGCAGCTCGGGCCGGGCCCGCGGGGCAGATCCAAGGCTCATCTTCAATACCTTCCAAAGAGCTCGTACGCCAGGAGACCGTCCGTCAACCTGGGCAAGAGAGTGGACGCAGGGGAAACACCTGGTCGAAAGGTCCCAGGGGCAACGTCCGACCCCTTTGAGGGTCCGCGCAGACCTGGGCGACGCAAGGACCTGTTTTTCTGTCCTGGTATGTCGACATGTAGAGACGCAAGACTTGTCCCGGCCCTGTCAAAGACTTAACAAGACCAGCACCTTCCAAGTTCGGTGGTTTTCGGACACCCCTTAACCACCCCGCAATCGCCTCCAAAAAACGAGGCGATCTCATTAGACACCTCAGAAGGAAGGTTCTGGGTTCGCAGTCCCGGAGGTCTCGCGTTCTCAGTCACGTCGCATCGAGAGGAAGAACCGACGTCGTATACGAATAACTTGTGGTGTGCCCCGGAGCGAGGGATTGACTTATCCAAATGGATGTTGATCTTGTAGTTGGAATTCTCAATGGATGTTGGCTAACTCTTGCAGTCCCATAGATGTTCGACACAAATCCGTCGTCTAATGTAGACAATAAAACCCCCATTCCATCCCATTCCCAAAAGGCTTCGGTTGGACAAAATACTGAAACATATGTGCTTCACTTACACTCCCTGAAATAATCATGGCTACGTGAAACATAGGCCCTTGGAATACCATTTCTCTACGACACGGGGGATCGACTGATCAAGACCATCTCCTCACATCTCTTAAGCTTGTTTTGGTGCGTTTTTCGGTGCATTTGTTGTTCCATTTAGGACACAGGAATGACTACCAGGGAATCCAAATGTGCATTTTTTGTTGTTCAAACACATTCGCACACAAAATCCGTGCATCCGGCCTTTTTTGTCAAATGGACAAATACGGCTGGAATTCCTCAGTGTTATTGGGTTTGATTGGGATTTATCAATATTAATGATTAATGTTTGGGTTTTTGTCAACATGTTGATAAAGTTTGGGTTTCATATGGGTACGCTTTTGTGCCGAATTGTTTTCTTGTCCATACGGCTAAATATGCTAATTCATTAATTAAACTGTCCAAGACAGTCTTTGCACAAAAAAACGTGTTCATACGCCTTTCCAGGTAATTACAATAAGGATATATACTTATACTTATACGTCATATTTCGCGCATCTAGTCGGCACCTCCACACCCATCCTTGCCGATCAGGAAATGGGGTGGGGAAGCGGAGTGGCCCATGTGCCGACGTCGTGTGGGAGTCTGGGTCCCTAACCTGTTCCAGTCGCGATGACGGATCACGAGCCGAGACACACACTCCGAGTGCAGACTTCTTCACGTCTGTGCACTTGGGATGGCTTTGAACCCATGGCACGAGGCATCACGTGGTCTGTAGTGGGTTGGGTCGATCCTACTAGGAGGCCTGTCTCTCAAATAGTGATAATTGTTTACTGACTGTTACAGGTAATAGGAATGTATGGGTACATAGTACATCATAGTACCATAGCCCATGGAAAAAACACCAGGAGGGCAAACCTGATGAAATGTGTGACGGTTCATTGGAAAGGAATCGTTACCTGCGATCATTGCAGGATGCTCTGAGGTCGCGAGGGAGAAGGGAAGGGCCCAAGGTGATAGGCTTTGGGGCTTGCCCCAAAAAGGATCTCTCTTCTAAGATCCACTGTCTTCCCAGAAATACTAAAACCCATATGTCGCAGCACGTATAGATGCTAAACACTATGCTAAACAATCCACGTGCAGTCCTTATGCAGGCGGTGTTTAGATGTATTCTACCTGCTCAGGGAAAATCACCATAGAACCGTCGGATGTACACCAAGGGTGTGGATGTTTACGTGGGAGGTCTCCCATGTTTTGAGCTACACATCCAGAATCCAGTCCTGGCAGTCAGTTCCCGTTTTCATTGACCATTCCACCGCCCATGGCCGGCAGTCAGCACCGGCTGGCAGTCAGCACCGCAGCAGCACCGCACCCGCTCGGCCAGGACGTGCCCACAGCAACGGGGGACGCATGGGAACGCGTTTAGGCACCTTCACACGAGCAATCGTGCCCATCGACTAAGTACCTCTTTGAGTGACTCAGCATCGATGGGATGGATGTGAAGAGGTTTCAGAAGTTGGAAAGAGGATCAGACAAGCAGCAGGTTGTTTTGATGGTCAACATACATGGTCAAGCTACACGGTTCATGTTGCGCATTGCTTTCGAAGAGCCGTGGTCCTTTCCTTCGATGTTCCAATCAAACCCGGTATCTTTCTGGTCTTTCTGCATGTCATTCCGAAACAGAAGGGGTCGACAGGAACCAAACTGTCTGACCGGAGGGCTCTTTCGAGTATAGGATGGGTGGATGGATCAGCAGTTCTCTGATATTGACAATATATTTGACAATCATTGACAGACGTATTGACCCAGAAGTTCAGAAGTCAACACATCAAAACATGTTCCGTGAAAATACCAATATGTAATATGTTTGCTTTAAACCATGACCAGGTTGCATTCAACAAAGGCAATCAAGTCTTCGAACTGCTCTTGGGGAGTTCTCTCAAACCGATGTGCTTTTTCCCATGTCAGGGGCAGGGGCTGAGCCACCGACGAAAGGATACCGTTTTGTTGGACATCTGGCATGTCACATGTCACTGCACCCAGACACGACTTGTCTGGGCCAGTCCGGACTGCCGATCAATTGGGGTGGTTGAAGTCGGGGTCAAAAGAACGGCTATAAATATACCAGGACCCTCCTTCTGAGGTCTAATGAGATCGCCTCTGAGTTAAGAGGTGAGTTAAGAGGTGTCCCAAAGCCACCGAACTTGGGGAGCTGGTAGATGATCTGGGAATTGTTTGCACGGCTTGCTTTGTTTGAAGATCATAGTTGCTCTTGTTCCGCAGCCATCCGATTCCAGCCAAGCAAATTCCAGCCAGAGCAATTGACATTGGACTCAATTCCGGCAAAACTTCATAGCCTGCCGGAAGGTTAATATGGTTTAGCTGCTCCCTAACTCTAGGCCCCATGCCCGAACATTCTATGCCTTCGGTCGGCCCTCCCCATTTCAGTTGCTGATGGGGAGGACCACAAAGCTCAATCGCACGAAGGTGAGCGGAACAAAACCAAACAAAGCTTTGACCTGACCCACCCATTGCCCATGTTTGGTGGTGCTCCAGGGCCCATCCAGCTGTGACTCCCGAGGTACTGTCTCCCAAAACGACCCGGTCTGCGACTGCCGGACAGCCACCCCAGACAGACCCCCCCCCCGGGCCACCACATCTGGCTGTTTGGAAGGCACGTCCGTCCTGGCAGTCCCAGACGGGTCGTGTCTGGGTATTTGCATGGGGAGACCCCCACACCTCGTCATCTCGCCGCATCGACGAGTCGATCCCAACCCGTCCGGACGCGCCGTACCCTTGTATGCGTAGCTACGCATACAAGGGTGCCGCGTCCACAGAGTGGGAAGGTCCAAACCAGTTCATGTACCTATAGAATCCTATAGATCAGATCTTTCAACGTATGAAATCATCATGCCTCTCGGATGGGTTTTCTAGATGAAAAGGCATCAATGTCGCACCGTTGGAAGATCTATACACCCATGATAGACCCAACAAGGCCGACCGCTTCGCCGTTCAGGTTCGGGCGACCTCGAAGTTTGGCGACGTGGCCGACGCGACCGTGGCGTTGGGCGCAACGCTGAGTTGGGACGTCCAGATTTTCACATGCCGTGTTTTTGTTTTGGAAACATGGCAAGAGAGTCTGGAGCCGAAATGGCTTGTACCGAGTGAAATGAGACGACTGCACCCTTTTGAGTTTTTCAGAGGCTTCGGCTTCAGGTGTTTATCGCCGCAGGGCCATGGGCCTGGAGTTCTTTGGAAGACACCAGACCAGGTCGCTCGATGATCGAACCCACTCGCGCGGTTTGTAAACCGTCCCATGTGGGACATTGATGAATTTGCTCGAATGGAGTTGGCCGAATTGGTTACTGACCATTGACATTGACCAGGATTAACTCGTCGCAAGCCTTGGGAAGAATCCTGGAGTAGGAGTAGGTGTAGTAGGTGTAGTAGGTGTAGTAGTAGGAGTAGTAGGTGTAGTAGTAGTAGTAGCAGCAGGAGTAGTAGTAGTAGTAGTAGGTAGTAGTAGTAGTAGTAGCAGTAGTAGTAGGTAGTAGTAGGTAGTAGTAGGTAGTAGTAGGTAGTAGTAGGTAGTAGTAGGTAGTAGTAGGTAGTAGTAGGTAGTAGTAGGTAGTAGTAGGTAGTAGTAGGTAGTAGTAGGTAGGTAGTAGGTAGGTAGTAGGTAGGTAGTGGGTAGGTAGTAGGTAGGTAGTAGGTAGTAGGTAGTAGGAGTAGTAAGTAGTAGTATAGTACAATAACAATTTAAAGTACTAGCAGCAGCAGCAGCAGCAGCAGTAGCAGTCTCAGTAGCAGTTGTGGACAAGCAAAACAAACACATAGACCCATTGGTCCAAACCGTAACAAATGACACGATAAGAAGGAGGTTCGTCACAGCTGTTTGGGTGGTCTTTGGGATGAAGATGCATTGTCCAGTCCTTAGCCGTCCATGTGTACGCATTTACCATCGAAACCCATTGAATGGAAGGGTGTGCTTTGGGAGTGGAATGGGTGTCCCAGTTCCATAGGTAGCCTGGCACCTGGGAGTGGAGGACATCATGTGTTTTTCTTCGGAAGACAGAGCCGACCGAAAGAGTCTTCTTTCTTCGGGTACGAACCAACGAAACAAACCACTCAAAAGTTCCGCGTTTTTGGTAGGTTGGGTATGGATGGTGTGGATGGTGTGTTCACAAAGCAACCAGTCCTCGTTCGTTACAGTGGCTGGAACTTAGAAGCCAAGCAAACACAACCTGTTGTCGTGACCTCATTCGGCTCCATTTCGTTCAGAAGTCCGCGCGTTTGTGGGGAAGACCATGAAGGGAACCTTTCATGCCGTTGAAGGTTCTGCCAGCACAGGAGAGACTGGAACCATGCAGGAACCATGCAGCAGTTTTCATTCCATCTCAAGGCGGGTGTTTCGACGTTGTCATCGGGCCATTCATGGCCAAAGTGCCGGTTTTTGTGGATGATTTGCATGGAAAACAACAGCCACTCTTGAAAGAGGACGGACAAATCAGGCGAAACTATACGTTAATCCTTTGGCGAGAGCCTAAACATTGCGCCACTCCACGAACTTTTTTGGAACGACATAAGATTTCATGAGCATCCAGGTACAAACAGCTTGATCTCTAAAGGACATTTCAGAGCCTGACCCCCAAAAAGAAGACCTCCCATTCTGTCTGAATTCTTACGTCAACCACTGGCCTTTATTGGGGGATGTTTCACTACTCAGGTCCAATAAAGTGAAGAGGTGGACAGTCGCTTCTGGCTGAGAACGATGAAATGTCCTCGCCATGTCCCACCGAGCGCCGATAGCACGGCCCATTTGGGGCATGTTGCTCTCGGTCCACCGATTTTGCTGTGTGTGTTTTTTTGGGAAGGGACATGATCAAGTATGAGGCAATACTACTGCTTAGGATTAAGTAAGAGTTCGCTCTTCGATCAGAGACGAATACCTATTCAGAATGATCAGAATGATGCTTGTAACTTTCGTCAGTTTGTGGCTGATGGAAACAACAGGAGACATGGCCGACATGGACATTCTATTTCAGATGAACACTGTTGTCCTCCTCGGTTCCTGCAAAGCAGCTTGAACTGGGTCCAATTGAAGCAGCTCCTGACGGCCGACCAAAAAAAACAAAACAAATCCGAACACGACGCACCGCGACGAACCCACGCGGAGCCCACCGTTGCCGGGCTTTTCAGCTTGACGATTCAAATATCGGTGTTTGGTTCCTTCGGCCGTCCGGTCGCGTGGAGCTTCTTAAAGAGTTCACAAACTGGGGCTGACGACGGAGTCAGCAGATCCCAGATCAGTGCAGATGCGAAGGTGCTTTGAAGTGGATCGTTTTTCCAGAAGCGGAGATGACTGGGTCCAGCTCAAAGATGGGACAGCAAAAAGACATATGGAGTATAGTATAATTACGCTTAAAACAACAACAAGACCCCGCCTTTGAATTAAACAGACCGGAGTACACCGGTCCCACTTACGATCAGTGAACTTGATCCGCAAACGACACGATCCACAGCGGACTCACATTGTTTCGCTGAAGCCTGTGGCGAGTACCTGGCAGCGAGTACGCAGATCCGACCAAGGTCCGACCAATTGGGTTTCATGACGTGTGGGTCGTGCAATGTCGGTGCATGTGAAGAAGAACTTGGGACGCTATGCTCGGTGGAGGCCATCGCAAGTAGGTTGGAGGCCATGACTACTAGTCGCAAGAAGCTACTACAAAAGCTAGAAGCTATCAGGGTGTATTCTCATATGACCTCCCAGCCAGCTTTGGGTCTATCCGAACCTTTCTGATGCTACGCCGGGTTCAGTCTCCCCATGTCTAGGTCGCTACACCCGTGTGACGGATTGTCACAGACGTCCTTTTCCTTTTGTTCACCCGGTCACCCTGATCTGGGTTGAGAAACACATCTTGTGAGAAACATCCGGTGGAAGCCTAGCCCGAACACAGCCAAACCAAGAGTTTTCAGATCCAGACGTTCCTACAACTTGCTGCAAATTGCTGCCGGGTACGGTGTGACTTTGGTGTCCCCCCCCCCCACACACCCGCTCATCATGGACATCTCTTGCAGAAGGCACTTTTGAGGATGAACCTTGCAAAAAATGCTTGAGTCATCCTTCAAAGCCATGAAGAAGATTGATGTTTGATCATAATTATATAGTTTGTTCTTTCCCTAGCCTTTTGTTCGACTATTTAAAACTTGGTTGACCTGTTTTTTGTAGTTTGTAAACTCCTTTGTGAAACAGCTAGTGGTTGGGGATGACCCGGCTATTTTCCATCCATGGTGCTTGGTCGATCTTGAAAGCCTAGTTTCCCTTTTTGGAAAGACAACATGCTTTCCTAAGAACAAGATCCAAAGATCGAGAAAGGGAGCTTAAAGACACATCAACAGTTTTCTGAATTTGGGGCCGTCGATGTCAATTTTCGCAAATCATCCCATGCAAACCCTGACTGAAGATGATGGCAGGATTTGGGGTCGCAACCAAGCACCCTTCCCTGAATTATGTTGCCGGCATAAAGGTGTGAAGTGACAATTAGTGTGAACATGTGAGAACACGAAGGTCTTCTGACATCAGGGTAGCCTCTTGCGCGAAGTGTTTGTCGAGCTTGGTTGAAGCGCGTGAAGTCTATGTGAAACGGATCTTCAACAAGGGGCATCCACTCAAAAGAGTGTGCTTTCTTCGTCATTTGGCGGTTGTTTTCCCATTTCAGTGTTTTTGGTCTTCGATGTGACCTTACGAAGGAATCAGACCTCGAAACCTATTATATGTGGTTGAATATCGAAACCAGCAATATCACAGTCATGATTGTTATAGTCCTGGTTTTGCTTAAGGTGATTGGGTGATTGTTATTTTCCCTATGGTTCAATTCCCTGGGGTCCATGGAGGAAGATGTGCTATTTGGTCCCGGTCTCCCGGACGCCCTCCAAGTCGCGTCTGTGCAGCCTTCGTTGGAGTCGTTGGATGCCTTAGGAAAGCTAGCTACGCCCAGAAAACGGCTAGCTACGCAGCTCGGAAGGGTGCTTCCTACATCATATTCCATACCTGGACCATCTTGTTTTGGATGTCCTGGCTAGAGATCCGGAGGGTCATCCAGCCATGTGGCCCATGGGATTGAGACCTGGTAGACCTGGTAGACTGTCCCCGAGCCTGGACCTGTCCTGTGAATGTGTTTTCGACCAAACTGGTTCGCAAAACCTTACACATGTGTTGTCTTCACATGGGACCTGATGGCATGGACCTTTGGAAGACTGTTTACTCTACAACCCGGTGGTTCTCAGGTTCCATTTTCATCTTCCAGGGTGAAAAGACAAAAAAACGATCAATCTTCAGGCTTTGACTTGCCTCTCTTGAGAGAGACCAGATCCAGTGAGGGCGGAACATGGTGCGGTCCGACGTGGGCGGAGGACCTGTCCTGTGGTTAAGCTTCGGAGACGTTTCCAATCAGAAAGATAGTCAAACGTATTTCGTGGTAATTCGACCAGTGGATTATATAGCTCCTTTACCAGGGATAGTTTGTAGAGGTTTCAATAGTTCAAGGACCAGTGGGAAGAAGCAGACCGCAACCCTTTTTCTAAAACTTCACGTGTCGACACAACTTGAAACGAGCTTACCGATCTCCTGGTCCAGCTTTGGTAGGTTGAAAGAAGCAGACCGTCGAGTAGGCATATCCCGTTGTGTTCTGCAAACACGTGAACAACACCAAACCAAACCAACACGTTGCTGCAGAACACGTTGCACCATGTCTGGGCCACAGATATCGATGATCACACAAAAGACCCATCGAAAACACTCTGGCTCCTCCGTGATGTCCGGATCCTCCTAGTCCTTGTATTCCCCAGAAACTCGGCGTACAAGGACTTCCAGGTGGCGCAGGTTCACTATCACAACACAAAAGATCCATAAGAATCACAGACTTCTTTCTGGCCAATTGGAGGGTCATAGCGATGGAGGTTGCTGGGAATCAGTGGGATCCAGCTGTTTGAACAACCGCAAAGTGAAAGCTGCATTTCACTTGGCTTCCATCATGAGCAGTTCTTCGTCAACCCCGGACTTGGTTTGCCCGCACCCATCTACATTGGGGCGGGGCCCTGACCACCTACGGAAGAAGCCCATAGGATTCAGCTACCTCCTTTTCGGATGGCCGACCAGAGGTGACCTGGTACTTCCAATGGTCGAACTGCGGGGGCCGTCTGGACTTCTGGACGCAACGGATGGTCCTGGACCCTAAGCCCTTCTGAGGGTCTCTCCTAAGACCCCTTTTTCAACCGGACATCGGCGCCAGGTGATGGTTTCCTCTCGCGCTGATATTCAGGAGCCTCGGTGTCCTGGACGGCGACCGTCCTGCAGTCCAATGGTGCGTCCAACGGGGGTTCCTGGCCATTCGACTCGTGGTGCATCACCATCCTTAGGCGCCAAAACTGCCAATTGGCGTCAACTTAGGGTCGGGTCTGCTGCCAGTGTCCTGCCGATGTGATCGTGTGATTGTTGAAAGGAGCATAACTAGCAGAGAAGACATACTTATCTTGCATTGGTGAAGCTGTGTTCAGACATGCCGGAAGGTGTCTCATGGGCCCTGTGGGCGTTGGGCACCTGGGCACCCGACGCACATTGGGCTCTCATATGATCCACATGTGTAACATGCCATTCTAAGGGACTTGATGTATTCGACACTTAACTGCAAGAAAAGGACTCCGAACACTCGTCTCCTGAGACCTGTACCTGGCTCCAGTGTTTTCACATGTTTTCACTGTGCATCTCGAGGAGTCTGAGACCAATCGGATGATCGTTTTTTGTTGCTCATTGATGATTCCATCTTTTCATTGCCCTCCAGTGATCGCAAACAATTCTATCTCTTGGTCTTCTGCAAACCAATATAGTCTATTTTTCAGGAGTTGGCTATATTAATTAGTATTCTTAGGTCTCCAGTAAGAAAGAGGTGTTCGTCAGGAGGCAAACAGATCGCACCTTTGCTGCGATGGTCTTGCAATTTGTTGCATATGTCTTGCCGTGGTGATTCGATATCTCATTCCTGGGGCTCCACCAGCAGCTTTGTGTGATTCAAAGAAAGTTATTCATTTGGTCCCGCGACATTCTTCAGCACTCTCACCATACTTGGAACCAGGTGCAGACTGCCCTCTGGCCATTTTTGGCCATACCCATACACTTCACGTATGGAATGTGTACTTACATTGACCCCAACAAAAGCACCCCCAATACACGCAATACAGGTAAATATACCAGAGGGCATGGGTCGTGTTTTGGGAGATGGGTTTTCTTCCAGAAAACCACGTGTTTCGCGTCCTCCGGCCTCCGCGTAAGAAACCCACGTCGGATCCGCGTCCTCCAGCCTTCCCAGGAGCTCTTGTTGCGTTTGCCTTCGAAGAGTCCGGTGTTGGCTGCACCCAGCCTTGGGTTGCCGGAACGGTGTCCCAGAGGTGGACTGGACGGAGACTGGACGGAGACTGGGAGATGCAGGGTTCAACACATCTTTAATTCAAGTCTCTGATGTCTAGGAAAAGAAGGGTAATATGAAATCTTTGTAGTTTCATAGTACGGTTCCTTTTGTTTATATCATTCTGTCTCTTTGTGTGTTTGTCTTTCTTTTCTTTTCTTTTCTTGTTTTTCCTGTCCTGTCCTGTCCTTTCCTTCCTTTGATTTTTCCTCTCTTTTCATTTTTGTCTATTTCTTCCTTCCTTTCTTTCTTTCTTTCTTTCTTTTTTTTTTGTTCTTTCTTTCTGCCTTTCTTTCTTTCTTAGCAGTAGATGATGATGGGTTCAGAATCCGACCAGGTGATGACCAAATTTCACTTGGCCTTTCAGAGGTGTACTCTCCGAGGGATGACTATTTTTGGATCATGTAAGAACTGGTATCAATCGACTGCACCAGCCACTGGCCATGCGTACACAGCTAGTCCCCCTATGTCTAGGGACCTCCTATGTCTAGGGAGGTCTTACTTCCACCCAAACTGTTCTCCATCCTTATGGACTGTGAAAGCATTAAATCAGACCCAGACGGTCTCTCACTTCGCTCGCCGTTCCACTCGCCGTTCCATGGACAGGACTCGTGGAAGTCCACCGTGCGCCCTCTGTGGCCGTTTCTTTCCGCTCCAGTCGCTCGTTTCGAAGGTGGGTGCCAGCACCCAATTACCCAGGTACGATTGGAGCCGCAAGGGTACCAGAACTCAAGGAGACGCAACGACCTGAGGTTGTCCTGGTGGTCTATTTACATCATATGTTAGATCCATATTATAGCAAAAAAACATACACAATTTAGCAAACGACATGCAACATTCATATATTATTTATTTATGTGGCTCGTCGTGTTGATCTTCCCTGCCTTCTCTACGGGTCCGTGCCACGTTCCTCACGATGCGTCCCGTCTGTCTCGAGGCCAAGTCGAAGCTTTTTCTCCGCTCGGGGGCGTTGCGGGGTGCCTTTGCCCACCGGCCCAGCATGCACAAGGTGCCGCAAAACGGCTTCAAACGCATGCGACACATGCGCTAAAATGGTTATTCCTTTTTAGAGACGAGGAGTGCAAGTCCTGGGGCGGATGGCATGGTAATGAGATCTGAGATGGAGGTGAAAACATATAGACCAACGGCGGGCGATTTCTACTCAAGGGTTGTTTAGAGACGATGAGGCGATGACTTCTACAGACCGTCAACGCAAAGCCTCAAGATGGGCAGCTTAAGAGGTCAGAGGAGTTGGTGGTACATCTCGATGTCATTCGATGTCTCTTCGTCTCATGGATGGCAGGTGCTCCCATCAGAGGCGCGAATCGGTGGGACCACGGCAGTGGGACCCATGTGCCGAAAGACATGACACCGAAAGGTCGCTGAAGAGTCGAGTTGCATGACACCGAGAATGAGTTGCATGACATGAACTTGGAGGATTCATGACACTATAGACCCTGGGAGTCGGCCAGACGATAAAAAGAATGGTCTGACGAACGGGGACCTGAGTGACCCGGAATGTCCTTTACTTCAGCCGGTCAAAATATAGTCGAACTGGACTTCTAGGGTAGAGCTACAACGTCATCCACTCATCTGAAATCGGAAAGGTCGGGTCCGAGCATCCAATTCTTTTCTAAGGGCAGTCTTCAGAGCAGTGCCTCTTGGATTTTGAGTGATCAAAACCAAACCCAGACTCCCAGACCATTGCTTCTTACGTCGATGCATGTTCAATTGACTGAGCTCGCTGCACCCCAAACCCTCCAAACTCGGCCCGTTTGGGGTTCTGCCCAGCGGTCCGTCAGTCCGTCCTTCTCGGCGACCGAGACGAAGGATCGACCTCTCCGTGATCGGGGAACCGACTCAGATCCTTGACTTGGCCGAAACACGTCCTACCGATGTGAAGCCACTGCTTATATATACCCTGGGAGTCAAAGACTATAAAAAGAATGGTCTTTAGGGGACCTGAAAGGGAACTTCCTTTACTTCAGCCGGTCAAAATAGTCTTTGGACTTCTAGGGTATATATATATACACATGACGTCCTGACCAGGACTGGAGAGAGCGGACGTGGCTTTGATTCATCACATTTCATGACCAAGCATGGATGGTTCTTCTCCGAATCGCCTTTGTGAACGTGGTGCGCGCCAAGTTGCGCATGTGCAGCTCAATACCTATCCCAGACACGACTAATGGGACTGCCATATATGCTTACATTGGGGTGGTTGAAGTCGGGGTCAATGGGGCGGCAGTCCTATGGCAGTCCGGGTCGTCGTGTGTGTGCGGATCCTAGGATCCTATGGGATCCTCGGCAAGGAGTCCACACCGGTGTCGAGTTCATGGTGGGCAGACGTCCGGGCAGTCCTTTTGGTCCTGGGTCATGTGGGGGTCACTCGGGTCGTCCTGACTTGTGACTTCCCAGTTGGCGCCATCTGATTTTGGGGTGTGCGACGTCAATTCCATCGGGAAAGAGTTCTGTGCTGAACATGCAGCCGTTGCAGCGAAGGGCTGCTGAAACGGTTGACCAGCGAAACGGGAAGATGGCTGAGCATCAACTTCACCATACCTGCATCTTCCAACTCTGCAACATGTATGCCGAAGCTCATCTAAATCACCAGCCAAGGTTGGCATAAATGTTGGGATTTTGCGGGAGATCGTGTGGTATTTTGTGCGGTTCCTGATCTAATGTAGACTCTTGAGGACCATAAACCCCCCATATGAAGAGGACTTCCAAAATAAAAGGAAGGGTTTATGGTCCTCAAGAGTCTACAATTATTGTTTACTTTGATGGTTTTGAGATGTTTTGAGGGGTCAAAGCTGCCACAACGGAGATGTTCGGGCGCCGGACGACCCTGAGAACTTGAATTTGATGTCGTGATGCCATCTCCAGGGCAGGCAGTTCCCAGGATATCGCTGGGAGTCCCAGTGGTTCGAGTTCGACTACAACCATAGACCGGTTCCGAAGGGCCCCTGGTTTCTTATAGAGTTCGTGGGAACTGCCTGGGATGCACTGGGTATTGTAGACCTTATGTCCCCAAGTGATCACTGGAGCATCTGGGATTGCCAAAAAACTCTGAACACTGGGGAATTGGTTTGCCACCAGATCTGCCACCGGGTCGCTCGCTCGTTCGCGCGCGAAGTGAAGTGGTTGAACTCGTCGACGCCAATCCCCTTGGGGCTCAGTGATCCCCCCGTCGGCCGCTGACCCAGCGGTGAGCCGCATGAAAAGCTGGTGGGGCTCCCGGACTGCGGGGCGGTTTGGGATTGGGTGCAGAGTTCAATGAAGCAACTCACCCTGGGCCCATCCTGAAGAAGAAGTGGATAGCTTTGTCCTCATCCCACAAAGCCGCTCTGTCGCATGTTGTTCCCCTGAGCGTCAATGCCCAAACATACCAAGCTGCTTCCCCATCCAGACAGAGTTTCACCATACAAAGTGCCATCTTCGGGCTCAGTCGTACCTTCGTTGTTCGACTGGAGCCGGACGGAACAACGGGGAGCGTTGTTCAGCGGGGAACATCCATGTGGTTCGTACTGAACTGGTCTTTGGTCCGGTCTAAGAAAGACAGTTCAAAGGTGATAGTGATTGTTCCAAGGAAGCCTTTCAGTTCGGTATAAAGGGTATACAAAGTCCCAGATCCCAGAATCTAAGATATATTTGAACCCTTTCTCTATAAGGATCCCTGAAGAAATAGACACATCATGTTGACCTGCTTGAACCATCCAATCCAAGGGGTCTCCGATGGAAGCCTACAAGTGGTGTAGGGGAGGTGATTGGGAACCTTGTCCCTATTTCGGCCACGCTCCGCAGACCGAGCCGAAGCAGAGGGGGACTTGTTCTGCAGACCTCTGCCTGCAGCGTTCTTCGTTTCCCTTACCTTGTTCCTTCCGTGACCAGAACCCTAGGGCTCCAAGTACCTTCTAAGAAGGTGTTTGGGGTGGGTTTAGAGGGTCCAAATACCATCTGAGCACATGCTTGAGAGCCTCATTCGGCCGGTCCACGCGGCACGCCGCGCGGCACGCCGCGGCGCCGCCCGCGTAGGTCGCATGGCCACCGATGACGGATGGTCCAACAATGGTGACTTTGGCAGAAAATCCACGGAAAAATGGTCGGAAAAACATGACTTTCAGAGCCATGAAGGACACATCAAGATGCAATTTTAGGCCACGAGATCAACGAGAGTGCGTATGTGTGCTGCGTTTGGTTTGTTCGGCATACGTGGATTCAAGGCAAAGAGAAGCTCTTCGACATGTTTTTTTGATTCGGTCTACTAGTACCACCTTTGAACTGCCGGAAAAACAATACCGGTGCTCCTGGGAGATGTTTTTCATGCAAAACAATAGCAAAAAAACTGTGTTTTAACGTGATTTTTGCCTAAAACATCACCAAAACGGTACGGGTCAGTACTTATAAGTCTATATGTGGATGTTGACAGCCAGGGCATTGAGCTACCATCCCTTTTGGTTTGTGCATCCAGGCTGGAGTTGACCAAGTTCCGCTTTATTGTTGAGCCGCTTTTCTTTTTTTTCTCGGAGTCCATGGCATTCCATGGCTCTTTTCTAAAAGCAGATGCTTTGTAAAAGAAACACAACGGTGTGGGGATCAAATATTGTTTTTGCAGATTAGATAACGCTGGTGTTTGTTCTTGCAATTGGTTCGTTACCCGATCCAACACTCAGCTAGGTCCCAAGCTCAGAACCTGTTTCTTTCATCGGTGTTGAAAGGACTTTGGCTTCAAACCCACAGACATACATACGCACTCATATAGACTATTATAGACTAGATATCAATAGCATATTCCAGAACGGCTACTGTTGATTGTTTTAGTATTTTTCTATATTTTTCTATCTAAATAAGTCATTGTAGATGACCTACTGTTGATGGCCAAAATCCTGCACCACTTTGCGCACAGTTTTCTTGCTGCCCTCGTTCTCCCTCGTTAACATTGGGGCCACCACAGTGAGAAAATTAAAACAAGTTGAAAGTCCAAAATCCTGCACCACCTCAACATTGGGGCCACCACAGTGAGAACGTTGAAACAAGTTGAAAGTCCAAAATCCTGCACCACCTTCTCAGAGGGGCCACCACAGTGAGAAAGTTAAAACAAGTTGAAAGTTCAAAATCCTGCATCACCTCCTCAGAGGGGTCACGCCAACATTGAATGAGGGGGCGCGGGGGTTGCTGCGCGACCCTTCCAAGGTAAAGTGGTGAGGTGGTGCAGGATTTCGTCCATCAACAGTATCATTTTGTACATTGAGCCCATTCTATCCCTGCAGTCATACCCCGCCTCCGTTCCTCCCTCTCTTCCTACCTTCCAGCAATCCCTCCATACTTTCCCGAGGATTCAACGAATCATTTGCGAATCATCTCAAATACATAATGTGTTTTTCTCCGATTCAGGCCTATCCAGGGAAGCAACACTGCAAGGAAACAAATTCAGTTTCAAAACGCACCCAACAAACGCATCCGAAGCGGAGGGGAAGTTCTCCAAAACCCTCCAACTGAGGAAGTGGCTCCTTCTGTGGGGGCACTTCTTGCTGGGCTCGAGCCGTGCCGTCTGTCAGGTGGGGTCAGTGGCGATGCCCGTTTGGGTCGACCGGCGAGTGGCCGGGGCGCAGCGCGGCGGGTTTGGCGTGTGTTTCAGAAGACACAGTGGAATTACATCGGCCAACGGTGATTGAATGTGGAAGAAGATGTCACGGGGTGATGTACATCACTTTCGTTCGTGATGGCCTATGAAAGAAGATGAAACAAGGCAACGTTGCCCTTGGCTTGTGTGGGGAATGCAGGGTGAAGCCTTTGAAGAGCTCTGACTGCAGCCGATGTAGCGAAGTCCTGCGACTCAGATGTTCGGCTTGAGTCCGACACTCCAAGGGGGTTGATATGCCGACCCCTCGGAAAAACCACCCCCGACTGATGGATCCATATTTATATCAATCCCACAATACTAGTAGATGTTGAATTGTTGAACGGTAATGATGGAGTCTCCATTCTTGAGCAAAACACGCTGAATAAAAAATGACTCCTTTTCAGTGTGACTGAAGAGATCCGATTGAGGTTCCATCTCCACTTCCGGGGCCTTTGGGCTGGGAAGAAAACCAAAGAACAGGGAAAACAACATGTGGGGCCGAGGAACATCCTTGACTGATTCAGGAAAATAGGGAAGACAGGATCTATGAACTTGTGATCATGTTTTAAGGATCAGTGTGGGTAAAAATTGGTAAATATTCCATACATTGCATTGTCAGGGAATGTCAGGGAAACAGCAACAAATTCTTTGATTTGGGAGCTAGTTGACTGTGGGCTATGGTGGCCATAGCAGCGATTTTTGGTTGAGCCCCTTTTTTGCTTCTCTTGTCATTGGTGCTGGAGGACAAAATAGATGGGCTTATGGAGTGGTTTGTCCTAAGCTTACTGTGACATGTAAAGTGAGAACACAAAAGGGGTAAACTGGTTGATTGCCTTTTGCTTGGCTTTCTACAATACACTGAAACCAGTACTGAAATCGTCCTCTTTGCAAGGGGGTGTGCAGTTGACAGATCGCAATCGAGCCTGCTAAGAGCTCCAGAAGGGAAAGGTGCCTGTGTCCACTGTTTTCTGTGGTTTTGAGGTGTTTTTGGTCGGTTTTCCCGTTGTGGCGCACCGGGCGCCAGCCCGATCAAACATGCTGCGGGACGGACCGGGGGTGCCCCAATTCGGCACGAGGAGGGGGAAGGGTCGGAGGAGTGGGCTGCTGACCATCAAGAGAAACATGAACAGATCAACCAATTTGAAAAAAAACAAGAAAAACGGTAAACACCGCCAGTGTTCATGAATTACAGGCTAACCTACAGGTGTTTTTGTTTCCAATGATCTTCATCCTGACCTCTTTAATTGCATCGATGTCCACTTCCTTCATCCTGCCTCCCTCACTCTTCCTCCCCTCACTGTCCTTCCACCCATCAGGGCCTGGGGCGCCGCTCTCCAGGCACAGCGATGTCGTCGGGGCGTCGAGAGAGGTGAGCGGTGGATGTTAGTTTGGCCGGGAGCCATTAGTAGCGTCATGTAGCGTCCAAACGCTCCGTTCGTAGTAAGGCCAGGAACCCCGTTCGTAGCGTCCTTGCTACTAGTAGCGATGCCAGGAGCCCCGTTCGTAGCGTCCTTGCTCCTACTATCCCTAGGGCTGTTGTTTTTCAATGTTGCTTTACTGTATAGCTGTATAGCCCCGTAATCAACAGTCAACCTTACCCTAGGCTCCAGTCGTAGTTGGGCCCTCCTGGCACCCGGGCCCCCAGTCCCACCTTTCGAAACGAGGGTAAGACTGGAGCCCAAACGGGTAAGGGAGGAACATGGTCATCCAAGAAAAGTGGTGTTTTCCTTCGACAATGATTGGGAGTGTATACATCTTAAGCCGGTTTAGGATCAGGATCAGGTGATGTGTGATCTTAAGCGGAGTGGGTCAATCCCTAGGTCCGTGGAGAATGTGTGTTACCTGGCACTGGATCAGGTTCCTTAATCCAAGTATTTGGAGGGCCATCCAAAGGGATTCTTTTGAGTGCATTGGAGGTCAACCAATTGAAGGCTCTGGACCAAAAGCCTCAAGGGATTTCCAGTGCCATCCACAACTGATCCTCTTTTGAGTGCTCCAGTGAGATGACCCAATTGAAGGCCTTCAATACCTAACACCTCAAGGATGACCACAGGATTTCTATCGGATTTCGATTTCCTTAGAGTGATTTTGAGGGGGCGGTTTAACGAATACCCCTATTGAAGAATGTCCCAATGTCGCACAATGAACCATATATATATAATATATCTATATTATATATACCTAGAACCTGACCTCTATTTTGGATCACCCACCACCCAAAATAAGGTCTTTTCCTATCAAAACAGAGGTCATGAACCTGGGTGTACTAGGTATATATATATATTATTGCCATATCTGAAACAACCCTACAGGTCAGTTCTCTGACCGACCAAAGACTGGAGAAGAGGTCGACAGATCGGACCGAGGACCGAGGTTGGTCAGAGTGGACTTGTGGGGATCGGCTCCTTCTACCTTCTACCAGCTCCTGGAAAACAGGTCTCCGAAATATATGGAGAAGTTTGGAGTGTTGAGTCGTAGGTAGTAACCTGTGAAGTTGGGTCTTGGTATTTATCAGCTATATAGTCCTCAGACCCAGTTTACAAACCTGGTCATTCAGCTGGTCCAACCTCTTTGGGCTTTAAGAAGGTCCGTTCCTGATCTGTAGGATATTATAGGCTTGCATTGTTGGTATGCCTTGGTTTTTTGCTCGGTAGGATCGTGATGGATTGGTTCGTCCCACTTCTTCTGGGGGTTCTTCCTGGACGAGCAACCTGTTTTCGTTGTTTCTTCTTGCCTCACTCGAAACCTGCGATTACCTCCAGGCGAGGTGGGTCAATTGAAAATAGACTGGATACGGACTTCACAGTCCTGCAAAGTGCATGGGACGAACATTGCATGCCCTCCCCTTCCCTCCAGTCCACATCATGTTCCAAACTCAGAAGTTTGCTGGGCTGTCTAGGCGGACACTTGAAAGCACGTAGCATGTGAAAAGAGCTGGGCACGAGGCATTCGATTGGCACTACGGCACACTTGTTGGCTTACGGTATTGAATGGTGACCACTGATACTATACTCGTGTCCAACCATTATATGTAGGCATATATATATATAGGCAGTTTTGTCCAAAAAGTGAACACCCACAGAGGCATTGCTTCTGCTATAATATTGGATATGACATATGAGCATCTTGTGTTCAATCCAGTCGTACGATCATCAAATCAATGCTGTAGCTCCTCCGCTTGTACCTAAGATCCCTGGTTTTGCTTATGAAGGCGATGTTTCTTTTCCCTGTGAATCCCACGCCATTGGGATTGTGTTATGTTCTTTCCCGGATCCACAGCTCTGAGAAGGTGATAAACCTTCGACGTCATGTAGGTGCCAGGAGTTACCGAACTCGTACCGAACCTGAGAAGCTACGACTGGGTGACTGGATCCCTAGCGCAGACACTCCATGTATGCCATATATGCCTACATAGGGGTGGTTTGGGGGGTCAATGTAGGCATAAATGGAGTGTTTGGGTAGGGTAGACTGTGCCGATTTGATCGCACCGTGTCATTCCTGTGAACCCAGTTCATACTAGTAGCGTCCGATCGCTCCGTTCGGTTCGCGAGGCCCGTCCCTGCTCCGTTCGTAGCGTCCGATCGCTCCGTTCGTAGCGATGGCCTCCAACCTACTTGCGATGGCCTCCACCTAATAGCGTCCTTGTCACTAGTAGCTTCTTGCTACTATCAGGACAAGAGGCCCTGTTGATGGGCACCATCTAGCATGGGTACCATGGTCGCCATTCAATCTGCTCCATCTCCGCGCTGCACCTGCCATGGAACAACTGGTGACAGGATGTTCTGCAAGATGTCCTAAAACCTGCCGTGGAGAACCGTTAACCTTGATTTAGGGGGGGGTAGCTTCACAACTACAGAAACAGCTTTGCCTCTAAAAGCTTCCACTGAAAACTCATGAACATTGGAAGTCAGATGACCGATCACCACCTCATTTGTTGTGGTCCTTTGCTGAAACCATTCAGAATTCACTGAGCTGAAACCAACCTATGCTCTTCATCTGGATGTTCTGTCTAGAGGTAGGGATGTCTATTTGGAGTGGGCTGCGTAGTCCAGCGACACCCAGACAGGATCAGCTGATCCTTCTCTCAACTCCCCAACCCTTCAAAAGTTGAACTGGCCAACCCAACGACCCAACGACCTATCAAATAGGATCACCCAGATCAGCTCTCTCAGTGCTCCTCAGCCAGGTGAAATGCAGCGTCAGCTTTGGCCACCCGTGCGTCCCGTTGGCTCCCTGGCCGGCGGAGGGGGTGCCCTGCCAGCACAGCGGACCAGGTGGGAACCCGCGGGCGCCGTGGGGGAGAAAGATTGGTTGGAAGAATTGTTACTACTAGCGATGCACTTGTTTCTAATAGCTTCTTGTTACTACTAGTAAGGCACTTGTTACTACTAGCTTTTTGTTACTACAAGCCAAAAGGTCTAGGAATAGACCTACTCTTCCACTCCAGAATGGTGCAACAAAAGGCAAAAGCCGTAAGAAGCAGAAAAAACAAAGACTGACTGTGATAGACCAAAGATTTGGACCAAAGATTTGGACCTCTTTGGACCATGGACCGTTGACCATAGACCGTTGTCCCCCTTCACCTTGACAGAGACACTCACGCCAGGTTGTCCCAAGCGGCCTTCGGGGCGACGCCTGCACAAGTCGCTGCAATGGAGCACCAGGCCGTGGTCTATCAGGATCGGCGGTGGAAACAAGAAGTCACGGCAGCCCAGGATCGAGCCGATTCCCTTCCATGGAGGCAGCCATCTGAAGGAATGGAAGAGTTTGACACATGGGGGGTGCTAAACACGTCTAAAAACGCGAAACAATCATAGAACACCATTATATATATATATATATATCCCAGATACTCCATGTGTGCCATATATGCCTACATTGGGGTGGTTTTGGCGGGTCGATGTAGGCATAAAAGGCATACATGGAGTGTATGGGCATTGTCATGATATTCTGATGACTTACGTTGAACTTTCGTTGTGACTGTAAACATCCCTTATTTGAGTGGACACTCTTCCACTCGTTTCCGCACCATGTGCCAGATCTCGCTCCCTTTTTGGTTTGCTTGTGACGGTGACGGGTGAGGACTTGTTGGCCTTGCTCTCGGTGGCCTTCGAGCAGCAGCGGAACATCATCCAAGCGCAACGGAGCCGCATGGACCGATGTCCTGCTTGTCCTGTGTGGGCATGGCAGGGGTTTGCGGTGGCGATGTTCTTGGTTTTTGGGGTTTGGGTTCCAGAAGTACCAAAGCAAACCAAGTGGAAAACTACCAGTTTGCGGCGTTTTGTGCAGTTTTGTGTGTGCGGCGTGGAAGGGTGTGAAGAGATAACTGTGACTTGATCAACCACCCTGTCCCCGTTTTTGTTGTGACCCAGGGATGATGGATGGTTAGTATTCAAGTCCAATATACGTGCACTTCTGGAGAATCCATCTCTCAAAAAGACGTGACGTCTTCTGTCCTAGTATGGATATGGATCCATGTCTCAGCCGCTAGTTCAATCCAAACAGCCTAATTCGTTCACTAACCATCGGATAGTCTGCGAGGCCAGAAGGGCGGTGATTGCTTTGTTTGAGTGAACATTTGTGCCTTGACCCCACCTGAAAGTGCAGGTCTCAAGGGCAAGACATGGCAAGTCCAGTTTTGGATGGGCCGGGTCTTGGTCGGTGCGACACTGGTCACAGGCGCGGTTGAAGCTGAAGAGGCGGGCACTCTGAAAGGCCCTTGCTTCACCCCAAATGGCCGCTGAAATAAGCGCAAGGACGCCACCTGAAGGTCAACAGTTCACCTTCAGCAAAGAAAAAACAAGATTCCCCAATCGATCTATCCCTATAGATCCACTGCGACCTTCTCAGAAAGTAATTGGACCCTCCTGGCGCCTAAATCACGGTGTCTCCAATCACATTCTTAGAAGGTATGCAGATCCCATTCCATCTATAACCTTGTTTGATCTCCCCCACCCTTTCAGTTCTATAGATCACCAGATTGTTTGAGAACGCGATCACCCAACGCTTCGAGCTCGCTCACCTGTGGCTGAAAAAAGCAGCCAAAACGGTCAGTGCGTTTTGCCTGGTCCCTGAAGTTCAGAATTGCTTAAGGAATCTGGAAAAAAATACCACAGATTCTCCATGCCAGAGGATTTAACATGGTTTAACCATAAGAACATATAGGAACAACCCAGATGCTCCGTTCACAGCCCTTGGTCCCGAACCAAACTCTGGATTGCTTCGACCCCCCCCCTCCAGGATTCGGGTCCGACCCCTCCGGAAACCAAGATCTGGACCGGAATTCGAATTCCCAGACACGACCCGTCTGGGACTGCCAGTCCGGACTGCCTTCCAAACGGCCAGGGGTGGTTGAAGTCGGGGTCAATGTAGACATATATGGCATACATTCCTTTACTAACCAGGACCTTCCAAGAGGTGTCTATACATAGCCTCTTAGTGGACCCTCCAAGGACCCCTCCGACCCTCGGGGTGCCCTGTCTGGAAGCCTTTTTCGGTAGTGTGGGCTAGTCCAGCCAGGACACCCAGGTCCAGGAGGGTCCAGGTATGTATTTCTTAGTTATTATAGCTTCTTGTTCCTAGTAAGGCCAGCCCCGTTCGTCGCGATGCCCGTCCTTGCTCCGCTTTTTGTAGCGTCCGACTCCTCAGGGGTCGGACCTCGGGGTCTGGGGTCTGCTCCAAAGCAATCCCGATCAGTGAGGGACTCTGGTGGGACACTCTTATAGGACACTCTTGTACAGGGACTTTTTTGGGGCGCCGTTCAGAGGTTCCGATCGAGATCTGCTGGCAGGACCGTCTCTTGGCGGAGTTCCAGGACCTCAAGATGGAGCTGGAGGAGGACGCGGGTGGCGCGGGTGGCTTCGGGGGACGGAGCAAAACGAAGCAAATCGAGAGACCCGCTCCGGTCAAAAGGGGATCACGGTCAATCGACTTCATTACGTCGACTGGACGTGGTCATACCAAAAGCACAGTATACATGGATGTCAAAGACCAGGTTTTGGGTCAAGTTCTGGACATTGTAGGACATGGAGATGGGATGAGTAGCGGTTCGTTCTGACACTGATCAGTGTTCAGACCATGCTCATTTCGCCTCGGGGAGTCTTTTGCAGAGCGCAGGTGGTGCGCGGAGCATCGCGGAGCGTCGCGCGCTCCGCGGTTTTCTTGCCCATGTGCTGGTTGTGCGCGGTTTTCTTGTTGCTTTGCTCGGCAAGATCGGTTGTTTGGGGAGCTGAAGCTATCCCCAATGCTCCGGTCGTACCTTCGTTTCAGTTGGACTGGGATGGCTGGGGTGCTGTCCGGAGGATCCAAATATGTAATTCCCTTTGGAGGTATCTAGGGAACCCTGGCGTAGCTAGAGCTGTTTTCGCAAGTGGTGGGACTTGAATTGGGCCTCGCCATCGTTGGACTGAGATTTCAGCGAGGTTGTACCAGAAATCCTGATAAAACACCCTCCTACTACAGCAGCAGTTGTTCTTTGATTCCTTGGGCCTACAGAGCTTCTGACCAACACCTTAGCAACTACCTGGTTTTCCAGTGCGGAGGGTGCTGCTAGGAGCACGATTTTATGATATGTAGCTTGCTTACACAAGTCACCCTACTTGAAATGCACCCGAAATCGGGTTAAGCGATGGAAAAAGACGTTTGTAGGTTCGAACCCTGTCCTCAAACCATCAGCCTTTGGAGATGTCCCATTTCAAGACCCACATTCCATATATGTCAGACGATGTCAGATGTGTCTAAGCCTCCAGACGGGGCGAACGAAGAGCCCCTGAGTCTTCAGGCAAAAAAGTGTGGCACGGTATCCTAAACTGGAGGCTGCCTCCAGTGCTGTGGTTGACGGCTGATGAGTTCTATACTGTGACTAGTTGAACAAGACCCGAAGAGTATCCCGTGTTGGGGCAATGTCCATCCCTGAAATGTTTGTAGAACTGAACTCATAAGAAAAACACAATTGTTTGCATCCCTCAAACCAGACTAGAAAGAACGCCCTACCACATGTGGTGATTTTTTAATGAAGAGACACACACACACACACACACACACACACACACGGGCGCGAGGATCCAGAATTGCAAATGCTCTACTCAGAGGTGCGTCGCCAACGTGACTTGGCGAACTTTTCCATCTTGGACACGGATGAAAGCTGCAGGGAGGTGTTTTTTTCCAGGGAGGTGCTGCTTCACCTCGCCCTGGCGCCGCTTCTCGCTACACCACGCGTCGCGTCGGGACAAAGCGGACGCGCTCGTTCGACCGCACCGAAAACGCTTGGATCACCGTGTCACTGCTTGGGCCACCCGTTGGAGAATTCAAGTCGTACAGGCTTTTCTCGGGTCCCAGGATAAGACTGAAACAGTCGCACCGAACAGCAGCAGAGGGGGCTGTCCGTCTGTCTCACTTCGGGCCACTGAGGAAAAGCAAAGGAGAAAAAGAAGAAAAAATCCAAGAAGCCGCTGAAATGCATTGATTTGATGGAAAGTGATGGGACAAACGCACCACACGCACAACGAGGAGTTCTCCGAATTGTGGTAGGATAATTGTTGCTTAAGCAATTGCTGTCAGAATGTTGGATGCTGGACTTCGCAAGGAAGCTCTTGATCCAAGCAGGTCGTCTTTGTTTTTTTGTCGACAGATCTGCATCTCAAGCCACTCTATGTGCAGTCTTCCAGTTCAAGTGATAAAAAGGTGTCCAAAAGACAAGTGGTTGGTTTCGAAGGGCACACTAACTATGGAAATGAGTCAAAGTAGATCCCTAAGCCACCGTAGATGATTATGATCCAGTGGATTATTCGTTGTTCATTGATTTGCTTGGTCACAAACCGGCACAATTGCAGCGGAGCAATTGCCCAGCACCGGCTGCTATTGCCCAGCACCTCCCTGGTTCAGACGTGATTCGGTCGGTTCACATCCCGATGAATCGTAACCCAGACACGACCCATGGGACTGCCATATATGCCTACATAGGGGTGGTTTTGGGGGTCAATGTAGGCATATATGGCGTACATGGAGTGTTTGGGTAATGAATCGCTTCACACGCGACGTGGGACAAACCCTCTTTGGGACCGGACGTGTCGTTGAGACGGTCACTGCGTGTCGGTGAGGGTCCCTCACGCACACAGAACGCCGAGCCTTCGGGGAAGAGCTCAGGAAGGGCAAGAAGGAGAAGGCACAGAAGCCCCGGAAGCACGTGGCAGACCTCCGCAAAGAAGCCGACGTGGGTCTGGCTGCTTGAGGTCGTAGAAGAAATAAGCTCATCAAACGCCTACCACGCCTGCGACCATCCAATAAGTGTTTCAGTGGACTACAGCCGATAGCCTACGCACTGTACTTCATCATTGGGCACCCTTAGGTATCCATGTGGTCCAGGACCTATTCTTGGTAGGTGGTCCATGGTACTCTGTATATGCATCTATAGAATCTATTATATACCTTCAGTTCGAGCTCATCGACATCCTTTCTGGTTTGTTCCGTTCGTAGCGATGCCCTTGCTCCTAGTACGGCCAGGAGCCCCGTTCGTAGCCATGCCAGGAGCCCCAAATGTAGCTTCTTGTTCCTTGTTTCCACATTCTCTCCTACCTCCTAGCTGGGTCTGGATCTTTGTCTAAGAAGTGGCACGGACGGGTTGATTGGCTTGGTTCGGAGGTTTGACCTTTCTGGAGCTTGCTGACTGGCGAAAAGCCGGCACAATGACGCGCAAGAAATGCCACGATCCCTGACGAGCCTGAAGCTCGCTTGTTTGCTACTCTCATGGACCGCAGATTCACCATGTTCACGGCAAACGGTGTTCATTGTGTCCTTTAAACAGCCAACCACCTTTTTGGGGGGAAAACCTGTTGCGGGCGGGGAACACACAGAAGCTTGGGAACCCAAACGCGAGACGCGAAGACGACCGGGTCGTGATCGAGTCCTCGAGTGGTGTAGCGGGATTACCGATCCAGCTAGAATGTGTTCACTGTGATGAAGCATCAATACCAGAGCCCCTAGTTTGGAGTGCCTAAATTGACCTCACCTCAAACAGGGGCCCTGGTACATACGGGTGCAACCATCATCATCCACTGTTACTGGATGTTACTGGCAATGGGATATACCTCATCTATACCGACAGCACCTTCCAATGAATTCACCAATGGAATGGTCACCATCTCCAGCGCCAGGATGCCCAGTTGAGGCCAGCAGAGCGGCGGGGTGTAAAGTAGCGAAGAGAGATGAGGAGTCAGAGTTTTTTATGAGACAGATTGCACAGTTTGCTAACAAAAATTGAACATAAGAACATACACTCCCGGAAATCATCTTGGAAGTGCATGGCCCCGCATTTGGGACGATTTTCCCAAAACCAAAGAGGTGGGTTTCACTCCACGTAACCATCATGATTTCAGGGTGTGATGACTCATTCGGTGTTCTCAATCGATTTTGGCAGCCCCTACTAACATCGAAGTCTTCCATCCATGGTGAATGGGTCTCTTGGAGGTTCTTTCTCCCGTGTGACCCATCATGACCCATGTCAAAAGAGAGTACTTCAAAGACTCATCACTAAGTCGGATCAGCCAGTAGAAGTAGGCGACAAGTAGCGACACGGCTCTTGAAGTCTTCAAGTGTACTGGCTGATCGCCAGAGTACTTCAGAGTACCTACTTCATAGGATGAAATGTTCGGATCAGCCCCCCGAGCACCTTCTTCTTGCTGGGAAGAGAAAGCTGAGCACGAATTGGAGCACCAGAAGCTGCGAAGCCCTGCAAAAATAGCACAAACATATAGGACAAGTAAAGTGGATAATTTGTCGCCAGTCTTTGGGGATTTGGGGAACCTCATTGAACAGGAACATTAACAGGTTCCAGTTCGTTTAACATCTGTTCCAGCAATCGAAACGGCGGAGGCAGCCCAGTGGGCCTAGTAGAGCTTGGCTCTCTCAGGAAACGGACCACTTTTTGAGGAACCTGTTCTCATCAAGGAACCTGTCCTTCGGACTTGCCCCAGTAAACCTAATGTTGAAGCTGAGAACACCGGACTTGCTCTCTTAGGTTTCGTTCCCCTTGGGACTCTTCAGGGCTTTGCAGCCGCAAATGCTGCGGTGATCAATCACATGCCTATAGGCATCGCGCATTCAATAACCTAGGCAAGTGCAAACTGGACATGAAAAAAACAAATCATGTCCATTGCTCTCCGTTCGTTTCGATGTCCACAGGCACGATCTGGCCGATTTGTAGCCCTGGCTCCGCCTGCAGCGCGCAGCGGGAAGGTGTGGAAGGCGAGGCGGTGGAGGCCTGTCTCAGGATGGGAGGCGGTGTGAGAAGAAGCTTGTACACCACTTGAAGACTTGATGGACTTACTCAAGCGTGAGACCAAGGGAGGTTTTTTAGGATAGCCAATATGTCGATTTGCATATGTTCATATGGATTGACTCACTTTTAGAGCCGGGCATTCTGTGGTATTTGAGGGCTGGTACTATTGATGGACAACCTTTTGACATGCCTGAGAACCATGTGCAGGAAAATACGAGTTCCGAAAATGGGGAGATAATTTGGTATCTATCGTTTGTGCATGTTTGTAGTGTTTCTTCTAACAACGTGCTACGGTGGCTTTTGGTGGATATAGAGCTTCTCTGTGTAATTTAATACTATTATACATGTATACTGTAAGTCAATGTAAGTCGTGGATGTTCTTTGTTTGTTTGGCTTGGACATCCAGCTGCTGGGCACGTGAACTCTCTTCGTGCCTCCAGCTCGAGCTCGAGCTCGGCAGCGTCCGTCGCGACGACAAGGTGCTTCCACTGAGCTGTGCGGGTGCAGAACTCTGCGTAGCAGCCAAGGGCGTCCTTTGAGATCCTCAGCCAGGGGGGTCGGCCCAAAGACCTGAAGCGGTGCCCCAAAGACTGGTCGGTGCGGTGCGGCACACAACGAGGGTGTTGAGGGTTTCGGAAAAACGAGCCAAACATGAGCAAACCATAGCGAACTTGGACATTGCTTTCCTAGACGAAGCCATAGAGTTCATGTCATTTTAATGTTAGGGTCTTTTCGGGTGGAGGTCAATATCCATTTAGACTGTACTGTTTTTGCAGTTCTGTGACTAAAATTCTAGCCACCCAAATAAATGATCTGGGTGTTGATGCTGTTTGACCCCTAGCAGTTTCATGCCCCCTCGCCCTGAAATAGATGATCAGATGGAAGAGATTTTAAAGAATTGGACGTCAGGTATGTTTCTGAGGTTGCCATCAGGTCGCTGAGATGGGTACAGGAGGAACACTCCCCACCTCCAGCAGGCAATGCTTAGTCAACGCAAACAATTAGCTGCAAGGGCACCTGAAAAAATGGACAATTGCGATTGTGTCCTGCATGTCATGCGTATATATACACTTATGAGAAGCTATATGGACTGGGCCAAGCACTTGCGCACCATGTTGTGCATGTGATTGAAGCAGAGGCAGCACGCGCCAGCAAGGACCGGCGAAGCAGTGCCAGCTTTGGCTTGGGCGGGTCGGATCTCAAAGCATCGGATCTGCCCCGTTGGGGCGGGTCAGATCATTTCCCTTCAGGTCGAGGGTACCCTCTTTGAGAAGCGGGTGCTCTCGGCTAGGGATTTCCACAGTCGTGGAGTGATGGAGTGGTAGGTGGTGGACTGATCCTGAAACTAAGTGGATGAAGTCGACTGGAATTGATATGTCTATTTATGTCTTTTAAATGTTAAACGTGAATCGCGCGAGAGAACTGGACAACTGGACAACAGATCTCCGAACCAAGCTTATTTCAACCGTGAACGTTGAGGGTATTGGACGCTTGCGTCCGATCTGTCCGATCTGTCCAGCTATGTTCAGCGTCCATGTGGATTATGTGGGTCTTTGGGGGGGCAAACGGCTGAAGATGTTTGTGCAACGCTCCGCCTCCTCGGCATGGAAGAGGCACTTCATTGCTCCATGTTGCGCCATGCAGCAGTGTTTCAAAGCGTGTGCGACACATGTGGCTCTTCACTATTTGTTTGTTTCTCCTGAAAAGATCGCCAAAGATGAGGAACATCGGATGAATGGCAAAGAAATCTACTGGACTGGGATCGATCTTCAACAAAAATCTGGTTGCGGCCTGGTTAGTATGTGAAACATTGTGACATCCATCAGAAAAAATAACGCACACCATCATCGCTTGCTGGCCTTTCCAAATGATTTTCCAACATGTTTCACTCGTCGATTGTGCTCGACCGGTTTGGCAAAAGTCTCCTCGGTGTCCGCACCATAGACGGCCTTTTACCACCATGTTTAAGGGGCCACGCCATCCACATACATATATATATATAGTTGTGTCATGTTATTGCAGCCCTCTCTCCAACACACACATGAACATAATCGATGTTTGGAACATCGCTTTCAAAGGTGGTGCCATGCTGCTCACCCATGTTTCATTTGGATAGATGAAACAGATTTGTCACCTGTTAGTAAAGGAACATTGTCATCCACAGGACCATTTTCCCACTTCCATGATCATTTCAGGGAGTGTAGGTGGCTCGTAGACTTACTACGCTTGTCTTATTCTTCGTGTCCCACACTACCAAGCACGCGGAAGAAAGCCAGGCTGCTAAGCAATCGGATGGTGAAAAGAACACCAATGAAATTGGACAAACGAAAGCTGCATTCGCAAAGCTGCGCGACTCGCTGGCTGGCAGGCGCCTGTCTGCTTGGCGCCTGCCAGCCCTTGGGTTTTGGCCAGGCCTTAGAAGCGCTCAACAACTTCGAGACCTTTCCAGTGAAGCTGGTCTTCCAAGTTCCTAAGGCCTGTGATACAGCCAGTGCATCTCAGTCTCAGCGATCTCATTGGTCAGTCGAAGGTGAGATTTGTGTCCATGTTAGGGTGACTTTTGGGTCTGCCTACCCAGTTGGAATGTTAGGGTAGGATGTTAGAAATAGTTGGAAACCTCCACAAAAAGTGGATCACTTGCAGCCGTTTTTGGGGGATGGGTGAAGCCCCACTCAAATCCAATAGCTGGACTAGCAGCTTTCACCGATCCGAACCGCGCCACGTCGGAGTCGTGTTGTCCAGTGCCGAAGCGCGCGTCTCGCGCTAGTCCGGAAGGAACAAGGTGGAACAACAGATACCTACAGACCAGCGGGTCTGACTTTGGAGAAGATTGCTTGGGGCAGTTCAGTCTTACATACCAGACCAACACTGAAGACCAACTGCTGACAGGCCCAATTGATTCCAGACACTCTGTGTATGGAATGCCGACCTTTTCTTATAGGACAAAACCAGGTTTCAAGGTGGCTTTGGTGCGCTGCTCGTCGAACTCTGGCGGGGAAGGCACTCTGCTTGCGCTCTGCTTGCGCAGCGCACGGTGGATCGCCGTAGGGCATTTTTGGGTGTCGGATGGATCGAAAGCGCAGACAGCCTTTAAAGCTGGATCCGGATCTGGAGATGGACCGTGGATCTATGTGGATTTGGTTCTTGATGCGAGACCTAGGTCTGCCAGGAGACCTGGGAATGGCGTTTTCGAGGAGACACGCCCAACAGTTGGAGTAGTTTCTTCTTCAGGGCTCATCCGAACTTGAGCGTCTCAGCCAGGACATTCAGGAACAACTCACCTCTTGGGAATCTCTGTTTGTGACCTCATCCGATCGAAGATGAGGTCACGAACTGAAGGTCCTCTTCGGAAGGGTCGGATGACGGTCTAGACGGGGGCCGAGGCTGGCGCCGCGACGCCAATGGATGTCATGCAGCTAAAGACATGGGAGCACATGGTCTGAGACAGAGGGGCCGGCTGCAGGTGCGATCATCGGCAGGAACGTCCAAGGCACTGCCATCAAAGATGGCGCAGGGGCTTCATGAGCCTGTAGGAGGCGACCCTTTAACCACTTACTCTCCGAGCCATTAAGCTATATGGGAGTGTGCATATTTTTATAGGGGGATGTTTTTGGGATGCTTGGGGTGTAGACTTCCTTCTTTCAGGGGGTCTTCGGGGGTCTCCCTATTGTAAGACACGGCCTCTTTTACCGACGTGGAGTTCACCACCGGTTTGCACGGCGTTATTTTCTACTTTGATTCTTTCACGAAGGTCCTACAACCCCCAGATCTCCACAACGACTCCATGGTCAAGCATCCCCAGTCTGACTGGGGGTTTTAGGGCTTTTTAGTAGTGGTTTCAGAGGTGAGAAATGGCACAGACCCGACTTCATGGATGTCCAGACGACAGATGGGGGGTCCATATAGTATACCACCGATGTCTTGGGGTTTGGCTGCCATCTCTCAATCCACGGCCAGCCATGGCGGTGTTCGCACATCCATGGCTTTGCTTCCCAACAGTGCCAACCGTTTGACAACAGTTTCCCAACCTGAAGGCCAAGAGGAGCTGTCTGCCTGCAGTGCAGGTTTGCTCGGTGTTCCTAGGAGACCTCTCAGTCCTCAGTCAGACCTCGATCTCTCCTACCCAGTCAGTAAATAACATTTAGCCATATTTAGCCTGATTGATTTCTCCACTCAATGCGAACGAACCTGGAACATGAGCTTCACCATGAGGGAAACAGCTTGTACGTCAGCCCTTGGCTTCGGTCCTCACACGTTGTAGGTGGCCTCTGTTCACTTGCCCAGTGCAGCAGATGCACAGCAGCTGGTGGCCAAGCTTAAGGTGAGACGACCGCTCGAAGACGACGGCGAAAATCGCTCGACCAGACTAGGTACAAGTGATTAGGTCGCGTATCGACGGACAAGAAACTTGGATAGACTCATTCATGTGTCTTCCCCAAACAGACTAAGCTAGACTAGGAGGTCTAGACGTTTGTCCATGAAGAACCTGTTTGTGGCTCACTCATGCACCACTGCAAGTGTCCCTACAGATTTTGCGTCCTGCAGGAGAAGGAGCTGGTGCTTTTGCAGCCGATGTCGTTGGGAGGCAGCCATTTCATACTGTTGCGGGTGGCTGGTGGGGGAGGTCCAAATCCTGTGAATTCGGGGAAGCATTTGTTCTCTTTATTTTCAGAACCGCTTCTAGGTCTACTGATGCGATGGAATCATTAGAATGTTAATGAATGTGATAGCTTTTTAACCATGACAACTACAATAGCGATTCTATTCTTTCGATGTCGTTCCGTGGGTGTCCAGATGGTGTCTCACATCGTGTCGTGCTGTCCTGTTTGACCCGGCCAAACACCTGGTCCTGAAGATCGAGTAGATCTTCCAACAGTGCAACCTTCATGCCGAACTTCATCTTGAAAACCAGCCAAGGTTGGTATGAAGGCATGAATAGGTGAGTGGAAGATCTAGGTCTAGTGTTGTTTGTTTGACCAACTCCAGTAAAATGAGGTCCGTTCCGGACCTTTTGGGGTGTTCTTGATTGACATGACATAAATTCTGGCCTCGACTCCCTCCTTGCACGCTTCGTATCTTGCGGGGGTCTGGACCCGAAGCAAATGGACCTTCCATTTCAGGATGATGAGGCCAAGCTGACTCATGACCAAGGGACAAACAGAGCTTGGCACTTGGAGAATCTGAATGGCGTGAATGGTACGTATATTGTTTTCCTGGAACATCAGCATTTGTCGCCCATAGGTCCATGCTCAACGTTCAAAAGACCTCTATATCTTCCACAAGATCTCTGTCTTTGGGCTCCTCCGCTTCGATCCAGGAGCTTTCGTCCGCTTCGCTCCACCCACCTCCCAGTTCCGCGCACGCGCCTCGCCCTCGCCCCCTCGCCCTCGCCCTCCAGCCCCTTGTGCCGCCTCCACGCGGCACAAGGCGTGGCCCTGCGGCGCGGGGCCAAGCTTCTCCTGAAGCGAGGCTTAAAGATGAAAGGAGCGCCGTTGTTTTCACACGGAGGGTCCGCGCAGTTCCGCGCGCTCTCGGTTGGTCTCGGGCCGGGTTGGTATCGAGCAGAGTGCTGTGAGAAATGGGACATTGGGATGATGTTGGATGGATTT